AAATCCGAATCGAACATTAATTAGCCCCATGCCGCACTTTCTGATGACGGTATCTTGACGGAGTAACGTGAAATAAAGACGTCGAGGCGCTTTACTTCATCAGTTACAGCTCAAATACATCAACATTTCTCTTCCGGCCGAGAGGGTCCGGCCGAGATGGATCGTTGATCTATCTCAAACGTGTCGCTGGGGCGAAGGCCTCTCGAGGCATAATCCGCCGGGTTCGCTTGAGATGCTATGAATGGTGGCTTTGATTCTATTTGAGAACTTGAATGAAGACGCATGTCGAATCCTCCAAAACGTAACTTTGCTCAGCGTCCAGTAGACCTCTTGCTGAATTTGACGATTGAAATTGCTGATTGATGCTGTCCTGTTGCTCCATCAGCTCTAGTCGTGGGATGGTGGTTGCTTGATTCATGCCACCCTTGAATTCCCCATCAAGAGAGCGCAATGGACTTTGTTATCGACATCCTTACAACGCATGTAAGAAACACATACATATCCAACTTAAGATGCCTCATAGAAATGGTGCAACTGCTGGAGACGTTTGGCTGGGATAACCAAGCAGGGCGTATATAAGATAGGGCGTTAAAACGGCACTACATTGGTATGAAACATGCGTGATGTACTTTAGGACTGGGTCTAGCGAAGAAGGGCGCCAAAGGTTACCAAATCAAAATTTTAATTTGAAACTCAAAAAGACGAACTCTGAATTGCATCAGATTCCAGTTCATTGATTTCCACTAGTTGATGGACATTGCAATCTTTCAGAAATTGCTGTGGACCAGAATCAGGCAATCTCTTATCAGGAACCTGGTTGAACACAATACTTGTTGCCACAGCATGAACACTTCGGTTTTGGACATCCTGCCTTATATCATGCGCTTGGTCCTCCCAATGAATATTGTTCAAAACGTAAACAAAGGAATGTTCACTTTTAACTAATTCTGCTGCACGGTCGATGAAGTGCTTGCCAATGTCTTCCAGAATTAGGTATTTCATTTTCACTATGGATATTTCATAATCCATATTTATGCAGACAGGCAATCAGCTAAATAATGCAATGAACAATATACACTTAATGTATGCTCCCGAGGGAAATAGTGAGTTTTGTTTTTCCAAGAGCCTGAATGTTACCCGAGGCTCAATATGTCATCCTCGCTACCTTTTCCTTTGTCCTCAGTCAGAACCTGTCTAATACAGTGCAAATACAAAGTCATATCACAATTAATAGAATATACATGGTTTGGAGACTTAAATAAAAGTACAATACAACTCATTAACTATGTTATTGTCCACGTTTATGCACGTGTCTATTGTATTTTAGCCAAAAGTACCAATGGCATTCGTCTTGCTAAGCTCAGCAGCCTTGACTTGAAAAATATGTTAATTATAAGATTGCTATTGGTTTATATAATACAATAGACATGTGATGAGAAAGGAACAATTTTTTGCATAAATCTACCTCAACATAGTTAATGAGTTGTATTGTAGTATTATATGGTCTCCAAACCATGTATATTCTATTAACTGTGGTCATATCAAGGAGAGTAATACAATTAAAATTACCACATATGACATGTTACATGTTAGTCACTAATGCACATATATTGGTGTATTTAATATACGTAGCAAAGGTTCAATGCTATAGGCTAGCTGCAAGCATCAGGCATTAAAACAAAATAGTTGGTGGCAATTTGTAAGAAAATAGTAAATAAGTAAAAAACTCACATGTACAGATGCCTGGCCTTCTATCTCTCCTTCTATCTCCTGGCCTTTTGTCTCAAAATTATCCAGCTATCCGATCACATATCACCATGCATACTTCATAAAACTTCTCTTCGCTACGCTGACGATAACTAGATCTAGGTTCGGGTGGGATCTCTTTCTGTGGTTTGAGGACTTGTCTGCAACCATAACGCATAGACACTTTTTTTTCAAGGAGCTTCAAGAGTCCCAGTGAGAATGTGCCAAATGCGGGTACAAGCTTAGCTGGTTTCGGGTGAGTGGCTAAAGTATGGTGAATCTACTTGCGACATATTGGCTGTCTGCTGAGTTTCGCTTGTCGTTAGCAGAACCCTTTCTTCTTTTTGTCGCCGTAGTGGCCTTTTGTCTCCGTAGTGGTGGTAGGCATTCCAACATTAGCCAGCTAGAGCTGTAAGTTTCGCATTTTTTTGTCTTCAAGACAATTTGATGAACTTTTTAAGCGATCCATTTATCATCGGTGCTATGTACTTACCACACGTGCTTCTTAATTTTGTTTGCTTTAGTAAATGAAGATTCCAAAACTTCGTAAGGAACACCTATTACGCCTTTGAAAATATTTATAAATTTAAAATGAATACACGTTGATGAGTACAGAAAATCGCGCAATGGCAAATCATTTACAAACAAACCTGATTGTTTTGCACTATAAACAATCCATTGCCCTAATTCGAGGTTGCAACAGCTGAACATTCGAAGGATCGTTTCTTCAGTTTCTTTGTCTGGCTGCTCGACATCTGATAGTACTGGCTTTCTACAACTTTAATAAATTCGAAATCGTCTGCTAGCTTGTAGGTTCCTTTCCCGTGAACTGCTAAAAACTGTCCCTCAAACTGACATTTTACGACGACGCGATATTTTTCACAACATCGACCAACGAACGAGACACATACGTTTTCTTTAACGTACCTGTTCAGGCATTCGCTAGCGTTCTGTGTATGTATACGTCGTTGGAGGGAATCGCAAATGCACATTGACCGGGTGTCTGCTCGCCTGCTGTCTTTGATAGTGTTAGCTGGACCAGCCAAGAAATACTGAAGGAACGAATCTGCATTTGGATGAAGCTTGGGCCACCACACCTTTTCTTGATATCCTCCAATGCAAGATTTAATTCCTTTTCCGATGTACAATCGACAAGACCACCTTTAATAAAGTGAAATTTAGAATATAATAATTAATGCTTCTTCTAAATGTTAAGAATTAACTGTTTAATCGGATATATATCGATAAAAATTTTTATCTAATCCCTGTTAGTAAAGGGAATAATACCCAATAATTCGTAGATTTTACACATGTATATATATATAGATACAAACCTTCTCTGACACCATCTAGAGTACAGCCAAACCTATCGCATGTTTTTCACGAGCAGGAATAAGGTCACTCTCAATTCCGACAACTTGTGCTTTATGTTGTCCTTAGGGTGCATGTCGCATCGTAAGTGAATGGCTACGTTAGTGAAGACGTTCGACATAGCTTTCCATAATTTTTCTTCACCGTCTGTGCCAACTAAAAGGATATCTGACGTTTCCAGACGGTATTTTACCAGGGAAGAAGGGAAAGTATAGTGCGAAGACTCTAACCTTTTCTTGTCCAAAACATCCGGACTAATGCAAATGGGATTCACACCTAGGCTTGTTTCCAACAAAAGATTTGGGTACGTCCCGAACGTAAATGATACTTAGCAACATTAAAAAATTTAATGTTCTCGACTCGACTGAGATTCACCTTGGCTGATGTTGAAGTCAATGCTGCGACGTCGTAGAGTTCCAGCTAAATAAACTTTTGCGGGCGCTTTGAAGAAGGCTATCGTTTTGTGGCAATTTACAACCACAAATACGCTTGGCGTTGCGTAGAACCGCCTGATTTTGAGCACGAAACAAATTCCTGCAGTGTTTCGGGTTAGTAATAGAGTTGCACCGTCTATAGCAAGAAACACTACCAGTGGAATCGGTTTGTTTTTTGTAAAGTTTTTTCGGCGTGTCTTTGCTAGCTATCGACTCGATTGAACTGAGCGGTTTCGAGCGTGCTCTTTGAAATTCGAGCTTAATTCGACGAATGGTATGCAATATGAGACTCGATACATAATACATGATGCTTTCCTGTAAACTCCTGTTTACTCCATATTTTCGGCAATAAATAGCTTTTTATTGAAAACAAAACATAAAATATTTGGAAATTTCCCATGGTAAAATTGTACGTAACGGAGCTAGGCTCTGTGTACACAGAAGACCCTGGCAACGAATTTGTCAAATAAACTGCGAAAAAATGTCAACACTACAGCTATATTACACACTCGTACGCTCGTATGACATGAAGTATTATCAATTTGTAAATCCAAATTTTAATATCCTCACTTAAATTTCACGATAAATCTATAAATTTTCTTTACAATTACAAGAAATACATACAAATACCTTCACAAAGTATTTACAAACTGTAATATCTTTGCTTAGTCAACACGGGAAGGCGCCACGATAAACAGATATAAAATACTCTAATAATGTACATACAGTAGACTCGTATGTTTTGTTTACATTATGTCTATGACTATGTGCAGTGTGGTTTCTAAAGTCAAGAAATCGTTACAAATACAAACAAGTCACAGAAATCATAAAGATCAAACTTAAAAGCGACAATAGAATCGTAAATTATAATTGAACAAATACCTGACTGTTGACCTTCGCAATAAAAAAGACAGGTCTTATTTAAGTGAAAAATTAATAAGCAACTAAACAAAACATGTGTTTGCGCCCGCATTTTGGGAGCGTAGCTAACCCGCAACTAGGCTGGCCTAGCTCGTTCATTACACATAAGCATCATTTAAGCGAAAGCCTGCCTCGACATGAATTGTTATTACAGCCGGTTTCAATAAACTTTACATGCTCGAGCGTGAATTCAAATGCATTCAAATTTCCAACAGAAGCTTTATTTCAATCGGGGTAATTTTTTATACACACTGTTGAACTTTAGGTTATTGTATCGCGCGTCATCGTGGGCAACTGCGATTGACAAGGATCGTTTCAAAAGCAGCGAAATTTACGTTTCGACAATTTACGTAAAAAGACTTAAATAAATGCAAACTCCTTTTTTGTACGTCACTGATATTTATTTCGTGTACGCTCGTCTTATATATTCAAATTTACACCAACATTTAAACCAAAATCATTTTGTCCTATATGGATGCACAGCTACCAACACTCATTAAAATATTTTTTAGGATTGCGAGTGATTAAAAGCATTAAAAGCATAGTCAAAGTGTAAACTATGCATGGACCTATAAAGAGTCATACAAATTTGTTTTAGATTACAATGGATATTTGTTATCATTATAATAAAGGTGGTTAAACGTGGGACGGTGTGTTGGAGCAGCGATTACACGTGGTTTGGGATCATAATATTGTCCTTTATTTCCGATGAGACTACAATAAACACAAATAATTAATTAGTAAAGAGAAAAGAAGAGAATAAACACAGTAAATTACAGTCCAGTTTTACCAGAGGGGTTTATCGCTTAGTTATAAAATGACGAAATAATTTAACCACATCATTACGGTATATTTTGGATACTGAATTCCTTGGAAACGATATTCCTTAGTTTTATCTTAAACATCAGTTGCTCGGAATCCAGAAAGACCTAATTAACTTAAACGTTGATATTATAACACGAGTATTTTCATTGGGTAAATTAACGCCGGATTTATTGTCAAATTAATATTCGTAGAGTTTAAAATATTGCTGAGATTAACCCAAGACCCAAAGACTGGTTTATCAAATTGCATTGTTTATTCATATTTTAAGCTCTTCGAATGATGATGAGGGTAACCATGCATGTATTTCACTTTATAGAGAAGAAAGTGTGTGACAAAATAAATTAATAAGATTTTTCAAAACAATTCGATAGACCATTTTTTACCAAATTCCTTAATCTTGCGAGAACTCTGTAAATATTGCATGCAAGTAACTTGGCATAATTTAAAATTTCACAACCAGAATATGCAGCTATAGTTATGGTCACTTATATATTTACCTAAAGGCAGCAATTATTAAAATTACGAACGTGATTAAAAAACACAGGCTGAGCCATCCTATGACGGCCATTAAGACATGTTTCACGTCCTCAACTTCACTCTTGTCAACTGTAGTAGGAAAATTTTTTATAAAATTAATAACACATCAACCTGAGATATTGCAGAATTTACCTTTTAAAAGAAAAAACATAACTGGTTCACATGATGTACAGCTATATAAATGATACACCTGGGCCCAGTTGAATAAAAAGGTAGTTAATAAAAGATTTGAAGTTAACTACCGTTCGCATGCATTAACTAGCTACCGTAGTTAAGTATACTTTAGCTGCCATTAGTTAACTACACAACCTAACTGCGTTGCACACACTGTTATTTATTTTCAACAAGGCTGTTGACGTCTATTTACAAAAATTAACGGTTTTACGCGATATTAGGGAGATTTAGCATGAGGACATGAACGTCAAAGACGATGTGAAAATGGCGAATGAATGGCGCGTGATACATCCAAATATGGACATGCCACGCCATTTACTCGATATTTTCACGTCGTATTTGACTTTCACGTCCTCATGCTAAATCTCCCTAATATTATATAGCACGCGATCTCGTGACTAAAATGGCGTGCGCTGATTGGTTCTTTGCCGGTCTGGAATCCCCCAGTATTAGACCGTTGCCGTAGTAACGGTCCAACTCTCATATTTTTGAACAAAAACAAGCTTGCGCTTTTATTTTTGACACGAAAAATATCGACGGAGAATGGACGAAAATGAGCATTATTTGGTACATGTGAATATTTATTCATCTTTTATTTTTGTTTGTAGTACTGTATCATTCTTATTTAACGAGTAAAAAACAAAGGTCCGTACTGTCAAGACCTCGGTCTGATATTTTTCTAGTACGGACCTCAAATTCGGTTAATAAGTGGTATGTATTGAAAAAAATGCCTAGAATAAGAAAAAAATGAAGAAAACGAGAAAGGCACTTTTATATTATAATTATAAAAATTTCTTTAAAGGTTGCAGTTAGCTAACCTTTCCCAGGGTCGTCATTTGGCATCGACAATTTAGGAAACAAAAATTATATTTCTTTCTGCCCCAATAGGGCAATAACAAAAGAGGCGCGCTAAACGTCTATACGTTTCGAGGTTTCCAATTTCGGAGAGATAACGACTGAAAACCTTAATAGTTTTTGGTACAAACTTTAGCACTGTTTTACAAAAACTTGCACTTTTCTCACATATTTTTGCACTGCTTTTTGGGATCACCCCCGCACTGAATTCAACCAATCGAAGTCAGGAAACATTTTCATGTATATTATTAAAAAGTTAAACAACTGCATATAACTTACCATCTCCTGGAGCAACTAAAGTAAAAAAAGCAAGTTAAAATTAAAACGACAATAATGGGAAGTAATTGGATGATATCAAAAAAACAAAACGTAACCGTAGGGTAAGTATACTAACAATTAAATAAAATTTGTCCATGATAAATAATTTTGTAAACGCGTTGTTCATCTTTGTCAAGCATGCCGATATCTAAGTTCCTGTTTGATTGCATTTTACCAGAAGGGGCCTATATAAGATTTAGTCTAGCCGTGGCAGTTTCACTTTATCAAAAGTAATCATTTCTTTAGAAATTGATTGTTTCCACAGTTAGTGAACATCAGAATGTTAGCATTTGGATGGAAAACCAAAATAAAAGACATATATCTTGAAAGAGGAAATAAGCAAAGGAAACAAGGGTAGTTACAATACTTGTTTTGCTAATCTCATGATTTTATCTACTCACCAATACAATCACTGCCATTCTTGACAAAGCCATTATTACAGATACAATCGTAAGTAAGATTTCTATTGACGCATGTTGCATTTTCACCACAATCAGGAGTTTGAATATTTGCAGGATCGCACTCGTCGTAATCTAAAAGAGGAAGAGTTAGCCGGCGTATTATAGTTACGTCCACACGAGAGAATGAAGAGGAAATCATCGAGGCTCATCCGCAGACATGCCTAGTGTATTATGCATTTATTTTAGCAGGCGTGTATTATATATGGGCAATATTTATAATTTTCATAATATATAATAATTTCAATACATTGGAGATGCCAGCATGCGGAGGAAGCTATAGATAAAATATACCTTCAAATTTAAAAAGACCAGCCAATTCAGTGCTAGCGGGATCAGTGTTGGGGCTGAGTTGTAGGTTGGTGCCAGGAAGGAATGTGCCGCTGTTTGTTACGTTCAAAGTTTCGGCTAATTCTTTTTGAAGATTTTCGTAGGTAACTCCAGTTAAATCGTTAAATGTTGCCACGTAGTCGACGCCAAGAGATCCATTACTAAATTTAAGATATGTTAAGAAAACTGCTTTTCAAGGCATCATCATAAAATTATTGTAATTACTGTAATTTAAAAAAAAATCAGAATAGATTCCCAAGCTAGTAAGGTAAATTGATTGTACGGTAAGCTATTTCCTAGCTAGTAAGGTGAATTGCCAGTTATTTGAAGGGAAAGCAAATTTCACTTTTTATTATTGCATATTTCTGTTCGCGGCCGAGCAAGAAGAAATAGAAACAGTTGAAAAAGAAAAGAAATAGTTGAAAAATGTTAGTGAAATAATTTTCAAACGGTGCCTAAATGTGGTATGTTAGAATATCTTCCGTGCTATACAGCAAATTTTCTAAATTTCGAACTAAATTTTTGAAAAAATTAAAGTTTGAGTGCGATTATACATGCACAAAGGACGGTATTTGGAGAATGCAAAATATATTAGATAAACTGGAAGCGTTGTTTGGTTATGTTTTTATGTCAGTCATTTAGGTACACGTGTCAGTGTCTTAATGTTATAATACGGAAATTAATGTATAAATGTATGAATAATACCTTATCTTGTAACTAGAACAAATTAATTTATCTATTTGGTCGGAACCTGGCTAATAGCTTAGCATTTATTATGTAAATAGCAGTAAAATCCTGTGCATGTTAGTAATATCGTGTGCATGTGTGTAATATCCTGTGCATGTGTGTAAACAAAGCTTTTTTAAACAACAACCGCTGTTGTCATCTAAAACGGCTCCATATTTGCATTCTTTCGGCGTTCGTGAATCAGAAACGTCACTATCAATCAAGCCGGCTAATGAAAACAAAACACTTACGTCAAATTTGTGATAAAGCATGAATAAAATTGCGAAGTTAGGCTCGTACTTCTGAATAACTTGACTATCTAAATTTGATAAAAATAGTGTTGTCGCTGTTGGTTGGTAGTACCAAAAAGACAAGTAATAATAGATTCTCTATAATTATTAACTTTCTGTTGCTAAATCAAAAAACTCTATGGATCAGAGGCCTTTCATTAATTAACTAAACTGTTCACGCTGATTCAGGCCAAAAATTGATGTCAGAGCCTCTCAATGTCCCACAAGTGAGGTCGTAGGGTGGAATTTGACTTTTTTTTTTGCACGCCATACTTTCCGTCATAACGTGTGAGAAATAGTCCCACCCCATGTTATGACGTCACAAAATTGTAACGCTGCTTCTGTCGCTCTAAACGCGATTCTCCATTACGTCCGCCACGCCCGCGCGGGCGAAGCGCGCTTTGTTTTTCAGACCCGTCACGGTCGCATGGGCAGATTTTCAAAAGCCGCTTCGCCCGCGTGGGTGAAGCGGACGGTAATGGAGAATCGCCTTAAGAAAACAATTGTTAGCTAAATTCGGTCTTAACATGATAACAGTCATAAGGAATTAACAAAGCACTAATAATTCCTTATTTCTGTTCTATCTTCACCTATAACACTTATACACTAGTAAAAAAGATAAATAATGAAAAAATGAAAATTTCCGTACCATCTCAATTATTGCTTCAGTGATTTCCAGGTATTCTGCGCTTGAGTGATCATCATAGATCTGTAGGTATACACGATTTACAATATCAAATCTACCTGCAACAGAACCCGCCAAATCTAGAAAAAACACACGATAAGTAATGAAGTTGGTTTATCAATGGACCATTCCCAGATTAAAGTAAATCCTGAACTAGCAAAATCCGTCGGTTTTTAGGTATTCAGTGGGAAAGGGCATCCCAAAATTAGTAAAATTGGAAAGTTTAGTTGCAAAATGTTAAAAAAATAGGAAAATAACGTGGTTACACTGCATGAAAAGCGCCATATTCCAAGGTATTCACATGTGAATACGGGTGTGAATAAAACACATATTGCAAGCGTATTCCGACATGGAATATTAGTGTGAATACGGCATCGTATTCTTCAGTATTCTAAGTGTGAATACGCCGTGAATATGCCGCGTATTCTGACCAATATTCACACTTGGAATATCTCACTTCTCACTTAATCCGTGTTTCCACAAAATAAATTCATCAGCTGACATTTTTAAACTTTATTTTGAATGCTGAAAAATTGAAGTGGAATTTTATAAATAATTTGGCGCAAAAACCAAAAAGCGCGCTTTCGAGTTTAATAAACATTGAACGAGGAGATCGTGCGTTTGTGGCTGCAAGAAATCTTTTTGGCGCTTATAAATAAGGGAAGAGAGTGAAGGATGCCAAGGGCTTGGTAAAGTCTGGAAACTCTGGTCGCAGTTAAAGAGCATGCCGGCGAGTATTTGTATGCTACGATTCCCACGAAGTCTGATGAAGAAAATGCGCGAAATAGAATGAGATTGCATGGCGCGATTTCCACAGCACCTTATGTTCGCTAATACGTGTAAAATGATAACGAATATTAACCGTATTTCAAGGATTTTTTATTGTTCAAAACCGAAAACGCATATACTGTTTGTGCGTAAGGGACCTCTTCGGTGAGTGACTAAATATCGTGCAGTTGAATTCAATAGCCGGCCTATAGACTATACCCTATGACCATGTTGGGAGTAATCTCAACATTTTATTAACAAATTACCTGGTGATAAGAGGTTAATGGGTTATGCGTTCGCAGCCTGTGCGAATGTTTAGGCATTTATTGTCCCTCAAGTCTGTCCATTAAGGAAAATATCAATATGAACAAACATGCATAATCTTTAGGTTGCCATGTTAATTTGCATAGCAGTCATACACATTGCAATGGTAGGTTTATCCACAGTTAATGTGGTTTATCAAGGTTGATCAAATGCAATACTAAGATTTCAGTCAATTATTTAAATTTTATACAGTCCTTAACAGATCATGTACATGTGATGGGTTACAACATTTCACATTTTATAAAATATTGGAACATCACAAATTGTTCAAAAATATGCAGTAAAAACACAGCCTATCATGAACTTCTACTAAGCTGTTATGATTTTCAATCTTTCATCAGCTGATTGTTAATTTATAAGCAATGTTGTTTTAGTATATATGAAACCATTGCTCCTGGAGTATGTCAGAAATTATACTTAATAGTAAATTGTTGAGCAAAGCAAGTGATGTTTTTTCACTTGGTAAGATATTAAAAACTATAGGTGAGCAGATAATGAATCAGGAACTTCTTTCACTGGGTGAAAAATCCTCTTCATCTTTAGCAAAGTTAAGGCCAACTCTTTTGGGAATTTTCTCAATCTTGCAACCCCTGATGGCTAAAAACAATTAAAACCACCTTAAAGCAATTATTGAACAAAATACATAGCAAACTTTCTTAAGCTATAATAGATTATTATCCGAAAGGTTAATGATAATGGTAAAAGCTGATGTTGCATGCATGGCCATTTGTTTTTATTGTTGTGCATAGAATTTATGCAGTGTAATGAAATTATAATATTCCTAGGAGAATGTATATGTACAATGTACAATGTACACACCATTCATATAATTTGGAAGCTAATCAATTAGGGTAAAAATGGAAACAAATTCTTCCATGAACTTAAAGCTGTATATACACATAGCTACTCCTAGTATGCAAACATCGAGAAGCTGTAGTAAACTCATCTACACTTTAATGGTATATTCTTTAAGTATTGTGATTATAATTTATGTACGGAAAAGTAATTGCAAACAAATCAGTAAACAGTCTCAGTTATAAATTATGATGAGGGCAATGTTAAAAGGCTTCACTTAAAAACACAGTCTAGCATGAACTTCTAAGCTGTTAAGATTTCTGTCTTTGGGCAGCTGGTTGTTAAGATTCCTATCTTTTGGCAACCAGTTCAATAGCTATTCTGTGGTAAATATTAGTGTAAATATAATTCATATATGCTAAAAGGAAAAATATAGGCCATTTTTTGTTAAAAAATATGTATTATATATAACTAAAAAACACAGTCTGGCTTTGATTTCTAAGCTGTTAAGATTTCTGTCTTTGGGCAGCTGATTGTTAAGATTTCAATCTTTTGGCAATCAATCATTAGCTATTCTGTGACAATTATATAACAATATATTATCTATAATATATAAATTTTGCCTAAAATATAAAAAACCCTCATGAAATGCACCAATGCACCTCATTTCAATGCATCTTGAAACGTCTATCTAAGGGTTATGTTATGTTAAAGTTATGATTACAGCAGCTTTCTGAATATTTGTGGTAGGTAAGAAAGTAATGTCCCTTTTCAGTATTGGCAAACTTTTAAATTTTGTTTGTATTGAGTATGGCTTTGAAATGGCAAACATTTGTACCTACTATAATTAGTGTGTGATGGAGGTAGGATTGATGAAAACCATCATACAATTTATTTATTTACAAGCAGGTACAGTTAGCTGTGTACAAATTAGCTACAATAAACACAATAGTAATCTATTTATATTAATAAAAACAAAAAAAGTGATGAGCCCAGCCGTAAAAGCGTGGGCCTCGCACTATTGTTGTTGTGTTGTGTTGTTTCAGGACTATAGTATGACATAACTCTTGTTATTATTAAATAACTTACCTGATTTTAGCGCCGCCACAAGAATTATTTTGGGGCATCGCGAACATCTTTAACAATTCAAAGTTGAACAGCTTGAACTTCTGTTGAAACCACGCATTTATATATAAGCGCCCTGGTTGAAACCAATTGACATTTGTGCCATGTTATCGTTTTGTAAACAAAGGGAACTGGACAACTTTTGCGAGGAATCATTTACATTTATTTGTTATTGTTATACGACCTCCGAATTTCGCCATTTATTCGCAATTTCGCCGCAATTCCTTGGCGCAAAAATTGTCACTAACATGTCGAAGAGGAAATTTCCACTGAGCTATATAATAATTCCTGGAGGACCGGCTCGCGGCCAAATCGTGCATGTCCGCAAAAACATGGCGGATTTTGAGCTTTGCTGACGCCACAAACAGCTGGGAAATTTGTTGCGCATGCGCTAGTTCGGCTTGCGTGTACCCCACGAATATATTTCGCGCACTACACGGCGGACCTTTAAATATATAAACAAAAACATGGTAGCCAAACTTTTTTTTGGTATTTTGCTTGTTTTTAATGCCATCAAAAATAAAAAGGAATAAAAAGGAATAAATTTTGTGCCGTGTGTTGCAAATGCTGCAAAAAAAAATTAAATCCTGCAAGAAGTAGCCTTCCGCAAAGCACATTTTTGGAGAGTTGCTTTGGTCTTCGCTTGACGACGATGTACAGACACAGAGATTATATGCGAAATTACGCTTATGAGGGCAATTTATAATTAAAAACGATTTTGAAATTTTTCTTTCTACGCCTCCAGGGAATTCAAAAGTACAATTAGAATTTTGGAGATTTCGGCTAATTTTCTTTTAATCTGGTCGAGTAGGGACCACGCGTAAATACAGAATGGGACGGAAAAATCAAGGACATACTTTTAGAATATTTCTTGCTCGAGGGAACGTAACGGAGCTGACTTTTCTGTACAACAATTATTAAATTGGTGCCAAGGAATATAGCAAAAGTTCTTCGCAGTTCTTCAAATAGTTTCACGATTTTTTAGCTGAACACGTCAACCGGTAAAAGCACACAAATACTCAATATATCAAGTACAATCCATGATTTCATTGGGAAGGGCAATTTTCACATCAACAAAATGCTGTTCATCTCAAACAACAAACAATGTGGATGCCAAATTTAGTGCAAAAAGTTTGGAGATTTCCTTGAGATTTCGAGCTATCCGGCTTGCTCAATAAATACCCGTGACTCAGGTTTACAAACTTCACAGCTGCTTAGGCATATGTTCCCGTAAAAATGCGGAATTATCCGGGGAAATATCAACGAGAAGTGAAACTAGTGGTTGTAAGAAACATAATACGTACTTTTTTCTCGTTTTAGAAGTCAACGTTGGGGCGAGAGACTTTGCTTAAACTCACGCGCGCTAATATTGTGTTCAAGCCATCGGTCTACTTTGCCGCATTTGAATGTACTTATCACTCGCCCATATTCAGTCCAAGCCATTTGAAAATTATATAATACAATTTATATAATTACAATTTATATAATATGTAAATTTAGACCGCTTTAGCATGAGAGTTTCCATGCGATTCACAAATAAACACAGCAGTTTGAAAAATACAACCGCTCGTCGAAGCCATGGAATCTTTGTCGGCAACATTTAACCAAAATCCACCGTTAAAAAGTCCATTTTTAACAGCAGAAGCAATGTCCGTGAGCTAATAAGCAGCTTTCATACTTTAAACTTTTCGATCATTGCTGAAAAAAGTTCAGATCTCCATAAAACTTTCGCTTTGTAAATTTCGTTCAAAATTCGAATTCGAATAAACATGCGGCTATGTGCCAGCGATTTTTTGGCACAGCGACAACAAATTTCCCAGCTGTTGACGCCACATGGTTCCTTTTGCTCATGGTAGTTACCACTGACATACCGCGATACAAGGTGAAAAACTGTGTCCATCTCCCTCCTGGTTTTTACGAATATATTTTCGGCTTTCGGTATATTTTTTTTGTATTTCATATAAATCCTCTTTTTTCCTGTTCAACAAATGGAAAGGAGACGTAGCTTTGTGCTCTATATGTCTGACGTTTTGAATGGCTTAATTCACTTATCGGGGGAATGATTTTTCTCATTCGGCTGTTATTTTATGGCATCCAGTTATCCAGGTAAGCCGGTTTTTATAACAATTTCAGTTTTTTGCCTTTGGACTCGAATATAAACTGACTACCAAAGGTTCTGAGCCATATAAATCCATCAAAACTTATGGTACAAACATATACTATTTTAGACCTTTGGTACATGTGCAATGTTATATACTCAAACTTTATCATTTTCTTGTCTTGTGTGGGGAAGGAATTAAATTCCTGGCAATGTCAATCTTTGAGTTTGGTCTATTTTGTTTTCATGATAGCAAACAATAATGTAAATAGGTAAACCTTCCCCCCAATGAGTCTATTAGATTTAAGCAATAATTAAAATGATCTGACTGACAAAAGTGCTGAGTGGGTGCTGATACAAAGTAATAAGATTTTTGCTGCAAACAGTGTAAATTTCAACCTCTGATGATGGTGACTGTTAAAACCTAGTTAATATATTATCTTGTTTGCCTTGTCAAATTCAAATCAATTATCATGGCTTATAATTAATTGATTTTTTAACTTCTTGCACCTTGTGAATAAATCTTGATCAGATCTCCATTTATATTTTTCAGGATGAAGATGCTATGAAATAAAGCAAGCTAGAGATGGCTTATTAATTGTCATGCAATTTGTTGCAACATTGAACTGAGATGTATTAAGCACATTATACACATTGTTATGAATCTGCATTGTTATCCTTAATTACCATGTTATCTGATTTTGTTGTTGGCTGGTATTTTTATAACCATTGTTATATTTATAAAAGAAATAAATATAAACATGCATTGTATGAGCAGTGTATCTTCAATCTGCAGCCACTTTTATAATTTTCTGTTTATGGTATCAAACTCAAGAGGGCTAAATTCAATGGGCTAATCAGGAGTAATTGAGTCTATGGAGGGATGAATATTATTCATTAATAAGACCAGGGGTGCAATTAGATAATATTGAAAACTTTTATAGCCCATTGAGGTACAATTAAGCTGATGACCTTACTGAAAAGTGTATTATGCAAATATCACTCGTGGTTGAAACTATATTCTTGCACTTAGTCTTCTGCCATGCAAGCATCTTGCCCCTGAGCTTTGGCCTCTGTTTCTTTGGATTATACCTAGATATATTGTTCTGAAGACATTCAAGACCATTCAAAAACATTATTAATTTCATACTTTCAGTAATTCTGCTGTTCATGCAGGGTTCAAAAAAGTCTAATTGATGTCCATAAATATCCAATTGTCCCCAAAATGTCCGACAATAGTGCCAAAAAGTTCAAGCATTTGTTATAGGAATGTAGAAATAATGAAAATATAAAAAAAAAACACCTGTCAGTTCGTGTCAGAATTAAAATCTTCAATTTTGTCCACAATTTTTTGACGTTTTAATATATATTTGTTCTTGCGTTGGCAATAACAGCGTCTACGACTTGTATTCATCTTAAAAAAAACGCTTTATATTTCAAAAAATGCAATTAATGATGTTTTCATGACTTTATATTTCAAAAAAACAAAACAAGTTTTCAAGGGAAATTTTTTTTATAAAGGCCAGGGGGGAGAACCTGTTGTTTACTAAATCCAGGGGGGAGAACACCCTTGTAGCGGGCTCATTATTGAGCCCGGTCAGTGGTAACTGCCATGGCCAAAAGGAACCATGTGGCGTCAGCAGAGCTTCTGCGGTTGCGCAGAAGGGCGAAGTCCGCCATGTTTTTGCGGACAAAAAGATGGCGGCGAGGTTACCGAAAAATGACGAGCCGGTCCTCCAGGAATTATTATATAGCTCAGTGGAAATTTCCCAAAGGAAATTTCCTACGATTTCCCAACACTGAACTGTATATATTACGGATGCTTTTGACGATACAGAATCATCAACTTTCTACCCATGTGTTTACGTATCCAAGCAAAAATAAAAGTATTTTTTTTATATATAACTTCTTTTACACAGGTAATTAAAGAAATTGATGGATATTTCTCTTTTTATACAGCTTTTTTACGACTTACGAGGCTACTCAGCGCTCATCGACTGAGGATATACGATACTCGACATCCCTGCGGCAGCAAAAAAATTAATCAAATAAAAATCATCGTGCGTTTGGTAACATTTATTGTCTTTATTGTCTGTCGCCTAAACAAATCAAGTGCAATTTCAATTTCTGACCGTGATGAGAAGAAATGCTGGATAACAGTTGACACCGGCATTGAACTGAAACAACCTTTGCCTATTCCGTGGTATATAAACGCATTTCCTGCAATATTTACACAATATAACTCGTTGATTATCCCGTATTCATGCGTACAATCACATTTTCTATGCCGAAGTGTGAATACTAGGTCTTGAAAAATATTCACAGAGTATTCGAAGGTATTCTAGGTCAGAATACGCGGTGTGTTTTATTCACAGGTATTCACATCGGAATACCCCCAATATTCCGAGGATATTCACAGTGAATATCTGTGAATACGTGTGAATATGGACCATATTCGAATTCATATTCGCACGTATTCACCTGTGAATACGCGGTTTTTCATGCAGTGTAGAAGTCAGCCAATATTGGCTACGAGTATTGTGACAGAACATATCGCAATCCAAAGTTGTCCATATTCTATGTCAAGGACGTTGGATGGTTTTTTACTCATGCGTATAAGCGAAATATGAACGAGAAAAGTTGGTAATAAGCAACGTGACGTACCACGAACTTACCAATTTTACAAAATTTGTGAGTATAGAATATGTGAATTATTTTATTTACATTTTTCCTGAAATAGCATGTGTCCTTTGATATCGTGGTTGTGTCCACGGTAAAAAAACAGTTGCTTGAAAAATCGGAAGCTTGTCGATAAACCAGTGAATTATATATAAGTTTTACAGTTATAATACCTACCAACACACGTTGACCCATCTTCAGAAAGATATTTCCCTGGACTTATACAATGACAGCGATATTCTCCAGGATAGTTGGTACAACTTTGGCTTTCATTTCTACATTTCGGTGATTTTCCTGTACATTCATCAATGTCCTCTGCAGAAGACAAAAACATCAAACTATGTGACAGCCCAATAATATGCAGGATATCACTTTTCCGACAAACACACAAAAGAAAAGATACAAGAGAAAAGCACACGCGAAGACGTAATCACGAGTCACATAGGAATGGATAAAATGCTATAAATCACCGACTGGTTTTTAACAGATCACGATAAAAAAATAACCGACCACTCGTAGTCGGTAAGACGTAGAGGAGAGTTTACTTCCCTTACCTCCACAAGTACCTCACCCAACCTCGAAATTTTACCTATTTCAGCCGCCCAATGTTAGAATGATTTGCAATGGAAAAACAAAAAATTCCCAGTATTCACTAACCACAACGAATTCCATTCCCCTCAAAGCCATTCTTGCAATCACATAAGTATGTTCCGTCCTGATTAGTACACAGAGCATTCGGAGAACAATCGTTCTCTCTCTCACATTCGTTGACATCTGGGATGATAAATAATAAACGTGTTACAGAATAATGTGATTTTCTACATAATTTGATTCGCCTAGTCAATGCTTTCTATATCATTGCACAACAACACATGTGCAAATTTTCATACATGTCCAATACTGTCGCATGCATACGGATCGACAACCTTTTTCACCATTCGTAAACTACATTTTCGTTTCGTGACACTTTTCACGGATCGATACTGATGGTAAAACGGGACATACAAACGGACTGAATCCCGACTGACGTACGAACCGTACGAATGGAAAAAACCCAGTTACCATTTAAAAATTTATTAACAAGTGTGCTCCTTTGGAGTACGATATCCGCATACACGCACGAAACGACTGTCGATTCGTTCAATCCGTACCAACCGTACGAATGAAAAACGTTCATATACCAATCGCAAAAAATTCATCACAGCACCGTTTCCGCTATACGTTCAACCCCCTGTGGAGTACGATATCCCCATACACGAAACGACTGTCGATTCGTACCATCCGTACCAACCGTACGAATGGAAAACGTGCATTTACCAATCGTAAATAACACCGTTTCCGCTATACGCTTAGATCCCCTTTGAGGACGATACCAATACACGAGTTTTTAAAATAACTCGCTAGATATCGCTTCAATATATTTTACCCAAGATATGCCTTATCAATTAAATAGACTGTTTACTGCTATATAATATTCCTCGTTCTCAAGAAAAACACGAGCAATATAAAATTGTTGTTATTAAAAGCCGCAAGATATCACTGCAATATATATAGCGCACAAGATATGCATATCTATATCAGTAAAATAAAACACTATATAGGTATATGTAGCATTCCTCGTTCTCAAGACAAAAACGAGCGATATACGCACATTCTCGATAAAAGCGACCAAACACAAGCATTCTCGATAAAACCTGCATGCATGCAATGTTCCCCTGCATGCAATAACTGTATATGCGTCATACATCACAAAGCTTTACTTTACTAAATACATGCATGCATGCAGCACTCAAGATAACTGCCTGTATTTGCCTGTATATTAGTGTTAATTTTTATATGTAGCTAACATTCCTCGTTCTCAAAAAAACCCCAGCAACGATTAAATAGTGCATGTATATTTTTAATGGAAAACTTTCATTTACCAACCGCTATACGCATAGACATAGATTCCCTTGGAGTATGAAATCAAAACACGCATTGCTAAAAAACCCGCTAGATATCACTTCAATATAATATTATGGTACTTAAGATATTCCTATCAATACAATAGTCTAATTATATATGATATTGATCCTTTGTTCACAACAAAAATACGAGCAATATAACATGCGTTGTTATTAAAATCCGCAAAATGTTAATGCATTATATATAGCACACAACTTCACAAGATATGTCTATTTATAAAATAGAGATGTCTTTAAGTTAAAGACAAAACGTTAGAAATGTATTTTTTTAAACTCTGAATTGTTTTGATGGCTTTCATAATTTTATAATTATGTTGGGCTCTCATATTTATCATAAGAAGTCATTTTCAGCCTGGCAAATCTCTAGCTACGATATTAAAATAGACTTGTTATATGTAGCTACTATAGCGACGAAACAATCCATTCGAAAATGACATAAGGAGGGCAGCCGTTATTGAAAAGGAACAGCGTTAATTTAAACGTATCTTTATCACAAATTGTTTTCGATCGACACCTTTTCAGGGACAAACCTTAGTCGCATCACTCGCATGGTGTTAAATTACTTTATTTACAAATGGACAAAATCTGTTTCCATTCGACACCAATGGTACGGATCGACAAGCTTTAGAGCGACCTGTATAGCTTGGCCCATCTTGTGCTTTTTACCAATGGACAAACTGATCTAGCTAGCTGTTTACGGATCGTATACTAACAGTCCATTCGATACCAATGGTACGAATCGACAAGCTTTTCAGAGCCCTGTCCTAGACACATCTTCCCTATTTACATATCGACACAGTCTGTTTACGGATCGTAAACGAACAGTTCATTCGATACCAATGGTACGGATCGACAAGCTTTTCGGAGGCCTATTCCAGACATATCTTCCCTGTATCTAGGAATCGACACAGTTTGTTTACGGATCGTAAACGAACAGTCCATTCAATACCAATGGTACGGCTCGACAAGCTTTAGAGGGGTCTGTAGCTTGGCACATCTACTTTTTACCAATGGACAAAATCTGTTTACGGATCGTAAACCAACGGTCCATTTGATACCAATGGTACGTATCGACAATCTCTTCATCGCCTTATCCTATAGACACAACTTGCCCTATTTACAAATGGACACAGTCTGTTTGGGGATATAGCTGTTTACGCCTTCGACACACGCTAGTTTCCATGCCTCATGTTCTAGTCGGCAATATGCGTTACGAACCGACATAGTCTATTTACGGATCATAAACTAAGAGTCTATTCGATACCAATGGTGCGAATGGTTGCTTACTTCTAACGAATAGAAATGCCTAAACCACTTTACCATCCGTATAAACATTTTACGAAACGAACGACCCGTATGCTTGCAACAGTATTGGACAGCCATCCAAATTTTATGTTAACCAATGAAGTATTCGTCTTTCTATAACTTGGTTGCAAAACTTGGATTACGAAAAAATTCAATGTAATTAATTTCGCTCTTTTATATTCTGCTCGAATTTTCAAGCAGCTGCATGTCCTCAGTTGCACCATGCACAATTTAATTAAGTCTAACCTTGACAGCCTGTTCCATTTCCCCAGTAGCCATTTTTACATGTACATTTGAAAGAGCCATCAGTATTGTTACAATAGGCGTTGTGATGACAATTGTGAGAACTCGCACCACATTCGTCGATATCTGGAAGATCAAATTAAAAAGGGTTTTTTACAATGCTTTTGCCACGCTAATATCTATACTGATAAAATGTCTTTGTTTGCTTACTATCTTTAATCACCGCCTAAATTATATCAAGATTTATCGGGAAATCTCTGTTAAACCACTGTATGTAAACACTTCATATTTGCATGTGTCCCAATTTTTATCCGCTGCAATATATGTTACAGACATTGTGCAATATTCTCACAAGCCTAACCTTGGCAGTTTTTTCCATTCCCTCTGTAGCCATTTTTACATGTACAATTGAAAGAGCCAACAGTATTGTTACAGTAGCCATTGTGATGGAAATTGTGAGAACTTGCATAACATTCGTCGATATCTGCATGGAAGGTGAAATTAAAAGAATGGCATATTTTAAAAAAATCCGACAATTGATTACAAGTTCATCGGTTTTGTTCGGTCAATATTTTCAACTATTACATCTATGTTGCGAAGTAACTACATTAACGGTTAACCGTGCTGCATTGGAGCAAATTTTTGTGAATCATTTTGTTAGTCATTAGCATTCGTTCGAAAATTTTGATCTGTTACAATTTATATGTTTTAAATTGTTCTTCACTGATTTTTATAACGATTATTTAGTCCAACAATATTGCTAGATTTTCTTTCGTTCAGGCAGCTCAAGATACTTTATGTACAATAATTCGAACAAACCTCGACAGTCTGTTCCAATTCCACAGTAACCATTTCCGCATGTACAATTAAATGAACCATCAGTATTGTTACAGTAGGCATTGTGATGGCAATTATGAGAACTGCCACCACATTCGTCGACATCTGAAGAGTGAAATCAGTCGCATAAGAAATTCTCCGCCAAAATCCTCTATACACAATTTTTTCGTTGAATTAAAGTATAAGCAGTGAACCAGTCAAAACAAGTGTTTTATATTAACAACATATTTGCGGCAAACCTTGGCAGTCGGTCCCATTCCCTGAGTATCCGTCTATGCATGTGCAATTGAAAGAACCATCAGTATTCTTACAGTAGGCGTTGTAATGACAATTATGAGAACTCGCGCCACATTCATCGATATCTTAAAGAATTACGAAATTAAAGAATGTATCAGAAAACTTTGTTAATACCTCTAGAATTTGAATTTTCTTAAAAATTCCGATTTTTCTAGTTATTGAACTTTCTGTTTCACTTTTCTAATATGTTTGGAGAATCAGACAATAGAGATCTTTAAACGACCAACCTTTACAGTCAGTCCCATTTCCAGAGTAGCCATTTTTACATGTACAATTGAAAGATCCATCAGTATTGTTACAGTAGGCGTTGTAATGGCAATTATGAGAACTTGCACCACATTCATCGATATCTGAACGAAGTAATAACGAAAGTTAGACCGTAGTAATTTATATCTCTTCGAGAAATGAGCAGCAAATGAAAATTTCTTCCAAGTTTTGAACCGTCCGAGGTTAGAATTATATCGTCTCTAATATTTACATACGGCTAACCTTCACAGTTAGTTCCATTTCCGAAGTAGCCGTTATTGCAGGTGCAATTGAAAGAACCATCAGTATTGTTACAGTAGGCATTATGATGGCAGTTGTGGGTCCCTGCATTACAGTCGTCGACATCTGAAAAGAGAAATCAATGGCATAAGAAATATTCTGCCATAATTCACTATATACACAATTATTTCGTTTAGTTAAAGTATTAGCCGTGAACCAGTCAGAACAAGTGTTTTAAGTTAACCCCATATTTCTGACAAACCTTGGCAGTCGGTCCCATTTCCTGAGTAGCCATTTTTACAAGTACAATTGAAATATCCATCAGTATTGTTACAGTAGGCGTTGTAATGACAACTATGAGAACTCACACCACATTCATCTATATCTGAATAAATTAATAAATGAAAGAATGTTGCGGAGTTTTCTTTATTATAATAGTATTCATATCAACAACTGATATTTTGCAAATGAGAAAAACGCAATAAAAAAGGGCGATTAAATTTCTTCAAAGTTTTTGAACCGTAAGAAGTTAGAACTATGCAATATACGATATTTGCGTACAACGCCAAACATTGGCATTTGGCAGTCTTTTTCATTTCCGAAGTAGCCGTTTTTGCATATACATTAAAAGAACCAACAGTGTTGTTACAGAAGGCATTGTAATTGCAATTATGAGAAATCGCACTACATTCGTCAATATCGGAAAGAAATAATGACTTATAAGACCGTAAAATATTTGTTGGTTTTTAAAAAAGCTACAATTGAAATTCCAAATCTTTCCGAAGTTATAATTATCTAATATGCCATATTTATGGCCGTCTAACCTTCACAGTCAGTTCCATTCCCGGAGTAGCCATTTTTACATGTACAATTGAAAGATCCATTAGTATTGTTACAATAAGCATCTTGATGGCAATTGTGGGAACTTGCATCACATTCGTCGATATCTGCATTGAAGTTGAAATTAAGAAATGGTATATTTTAAAAGATTCCACTATAATGGTTACAAATTCATCGGTTCTGTTCAGTTAATTTTTTTAACCATTGCGCCTATGTTGCGAAGTAACTTCGTTAATCGTTAACTGTGCTGCATTCGAACAAATTTTTTTAATCCATTTTGTTAGTCATTATTAAAATTTGTTCGAAAATTTTCATCTGCAACAATTCATATGTTATAAATTATTCTTTCATTGCCCACAGATTTTTATAACGATTATTTAGTCCTACAAACTTGCAAGTTTTTCTTTCGTTCAGGCAGTTCAGGAAACTTTATGTACAATAATTCGAACAAACCTCGACAGTCTGTTCCATTTCCCCAGTAGCCATTTTTGCATGAACAATTGAAAGAACCATCAGTATTGTTACAGTAAGCGTTGTGATGGCAATTATGAGAACTGTCACCACATTCATCGATATCTGAAAAACAATCATTGTCAAAGAAATACTCATTGCTCAATAGACTGGTTTTGTTCAGTTGAAATTCAGTATAAGCACTGAACAAATATTTTAAATTTTCACCACTTATGCAACTTTTGTGTAGACAAAAGCATGAAACAAAACACCGCGACGACTGAAGACCTTCACAACCATGTGTTCTACAACGTTGTGAGTATGTTTTTGGTAAGACTTGTTAAGTTATGTGAACATTAACCTAACATTCACAGTCTGTTCCAATTCCCCAGCAGCCAGTTTTAAATTAACACCATATTTCTGACAAACCTTGGCAGTCGGTCCCATTTCCTGAGTAGCCGTTTTTACAAGTGCAATTGAAAGAACCATCAGTATTGTTACAGTAGGCATTGTAATGGCAGTTGTGAGTCCCTGAATTACATTCGTCGACATCTGAAAAGAGAATCAAAGACATAAGAAATATTCTGCCATATTTCACTATACATAATTGTTTCGTTTAGTTAAAGTATTAGCCGTGAACCAGTCAGAACAAGTGTTTTAAATAAGCACATATTTCTGGCAAACCTTGGCAGTCGGTCCCATTTCCTGAGTAGCCATTTCTGCATGTACAATTAAAAGAACCATCAGTATTGTTACAGTAGGCATTGTGATGGCAATTGTGGGTCCCTGAATTACATTCGTTGAAATCTGAAAAGAGAAATCAAAGGCATAAGAAATTTTCCGCCATATCTCACTATACACACTTGTTTCGTTTAATTACATATAAATCGTGAACCAGGCAGAACAAGTGTTTTAAATAAGCACATATTTCTGGCAAACCTTGGCAGTCGGTCCCATTTCCTGAGTAGCCGTTTTTGCATGTGCAATTGAAAGAACCATCAGTATTGTTACAGTAGGCGTTGTGATGGCAATTATGAAAACCTGCATCACAATCATCGATATCTGAATGAAATAATAAAATGAAAAATGTTGCGGAGTTTTCTTTAATTCAATAGTATTTATATTCAGTGAAAAATTCTGATATTTTGCAAGAGAGAAAAACTTTATAAAACAGGGCGATTAAAATTCTTGAAGCATATAGGAAGTTAGAACTATGCGATATTTGCGTACAACGCCTAACCTTGACAGTCTGTTCCATTTCCGAAGTAGCCGTTTTTGCATGTACAATTAAAAGAACCATCAGTATTGTTACAATAGGCGTTGTGATGGCAATTGTGAGAACTCGCGCCACATTCGTCGATATCTGAAAGCATTAATTACCGAAAGGATGTAGAAGAATTTTGTTTTAATCAGAGTATTCATATATTATTTTCTTTAGAATTCTGATATTTTTCAAGTGCCCAATTAAAATAACTTCTGCAGAGGCATTATAATGAAGGTTGCGAAACCAACTTAACAAGTATAACATCGGTATAAAAATGTGCATGAGAAAGGTTACACAACATAACTTGCCTAAAAAGCCAATGATCTAATCCAAAATCTAAATTTTCATTTACGTTCTTATAGCCCAGAAAAATTGGAACTTTCAACTGAAATGTGAAATATTTACGGCAAACCTCGGCAGTTTGTTCCGTTTCCTGAGTAGCCATTTTTATATGTACAATTCATCAGTATTGTTACAGTGGGCGTTGTAATGATAATTATAAGAACCGGGTAAAAATTGTTGAAAATTCTAATTTTGCAAACGTTTTTTAAAAAAACTTGGTTTGTAAGCAGTCATCATCATAATAGCAGTTGTAAGATACATATGTATTACAATCTTGATAGTAAATGAAAACTCTGGGCACTTTTCGGTCTTTGATAACAAACAGTTTATGATGACGATAAGTTTTTTTAAACCATGTTATACAATTATGAAGAAAATTTGTGGTAATACTCTTCCTGAGATAACGAAACGATCCTATTAGATTTTCTATTGATGTTTTCAGCCCACAGAACTTACTAGCCTACTGCTCAATTGAAATATGGATATCAACGGCTAACCTTTGCAGTCAATTAAAACTTTCTATTTAACTCGTAATATGTAAAAACTTCGTAAAGGTGTAATCTACGTGGTGATTCCGTCATGATGATGTAACGTACTTCTGGGATGAATTTAGACTAAGTCTTGCTTTGACCTCCAATACACATCTTGGAGCTTCATTATGTATTACAGGAAAATTAAAGTCTTCTTTGACTTTTTGACTCAGTGACTATAATAAATAGAAAATACATCACAAATCATTACCGTCATCATCGGTGATAGTCACTGTCGCTTCGCCAACAGTTATATGAACGTTGTTCTCTACCATCAAAACAACTGTAAAACTTTCGTTGCCTTCATAACTGTTATCATCTATTATCGAAATATCAACGCAATAAGTTCTTGGAGAAAAAATAAATATTGCAACACTTTTCTCCTCATCCAGATAATCTTCTCCACTTGTTGCAGTGCCATTTCTGAATGTTAATCTTAAAATACGACAAGAAACACATTAATAAATAGACAAAAAAGGAAATTCGCTGAATGTGTTGGTTGCACAAATTTATGGATGTTCGTATTAACCAGTTAGTGATATTTCAGCCAATTTTGCAATTGACTGTATTTTCATCTAAATATTGGACGTGTTGAAAATAAAGATTATTCAATTTGAGATTGGGAAGATAAAAAGTGGAACATTCATTCATCATGGAACGTTGGTTGTGACATGTCTCAGCTACAAAAAATTCGGACCGCTACCCGGATGTGCTTATAAATATAAATATAAATATAAATATAAAGAACAAGAAGAACGAAATTTACTCACCTTCCTAAGGCAATTATGAAGGACCCCTGGGAATTACTAACGTTAACCTCGACACAAACATTCACGGAACCATCTGCCTCGCCAACAGTGTATGTGGAACTTTGAAATCCAATTGTAGTTGCCTCTGCATTAAAATTTGGAAGGAAAGAATACATTGCCGACATGCATACATCAATTCAAAAATTAGCTATATGTATAATACTTAGTTATCGTTCTTTTGCATAGTTCACGTTATACAGTGTCAATGATCTACCCGATTGACTGGTTTGTTAACAGGCGAATATTCCAAGAATTATTCAAAGAAAAAGTTAGTAATATTTTCATCATCACATTTTGTTATAAAAACTTTCGCATAAAAATATAATTATAATACTCATGCACCCCATTCCCTTCCTCTCCGCACGCACTAAGTCAATATTTGACGCAACTGAGGGGAAATGAAAATGTATGCATGGTTGCCAACCACGGATTTACGGAAACGTGGGGGGGGAGATTTATCAATAGTAAAGAATAACTATCGCTCCAATGAATTTGTCAATGTTTGTGGTGTATTTCTGTGAAGCAAATACCAGGTATATGAGGTTGAACATCGGATATGAAGAAGTTTGTGGTTGTCAACCGAAGCCCAAGGCTGAAGTTAATGACAAACTAAGGCTTCACAATTCTTCATATCATGTGAAAACGGAATTCAATAATTATTTTATTTATTTAAAAGAATGAACATTACAACTTTGAATTGTTCGCTTGAATTTGTGTCGATTTCACATTCCCGCACCGTTTGGACGTTGATGTCTTCGCCATTAGTGTGACTTCGTAACGTGGGATACGATTATTTATAACAAGTTATGACGTATTAGCGTGAAAGAAAAAAGTCGTATCAAACGTTATGACGTCACACGTTGGACATGAAGATTCCACACATGGCTTCCACACTCTCCGCACAACTGATTTACGGGAACGGGGGGGGGGGTTAATCAACAGTAAAAAATAAAGGTTCCAATAATAATAATAATAATAATAATAATAATAATAATAATAATAATAATATGGTTCCAATGAATTTGCCAATGATTTTGGTAGATTTTGGTGAATAAATATTTAAACTATTGCCGGACTCCCTCCAGTAAAAATTGAGAACATGCGCCACGATATTTTTGCTTTACAATAATTTATGGTCTCAAACGGACTGCTCACTTAGCCAATCAGATTGCAGGAAACGCTAAAATATGAATTCGGACCGCAAGAAAAAAGATAATATGTATTATTATTTCATTTCTATAACATCTTCGTTCTGTGATAGCGATCGGAACAGCGCTATTGAAATATTGAACTGGATGATGTTAAAACCCGGTGTAAAATTAGTATAAAATACTCGAAACCATGTCAGTGGTGCTGCGTTTCCGGATTATTTTAGTAAAATGAGAATAATATGCAATATAAAGACTAAACAATGTATACGGCCAACGTTGACAGTCTTTTCATGCAATTACGTCATTTATAATAAACAAAGAAGTGTAAAAACTGTTATTATTCACTTGCGTATTGTTGTCGAAATTCACGCAGATTTTCACCCATACTATATAGTAAACAAGGGGGAATTACGTTTTAGACCAATCAGCAGGTTTGTTTACATTTTTAGTAACCCAATCAGAATGTATAAATTTTGATTAAAAGTACAATATATATGCAATCTGATTGGCTTTGCCTAAAAAATGTAAACAAATATGGCGATTAGTTCAATACGAAATTCCTCCTCCTTTCTATACTAGTGCCTTTTCAGAAAAATTGGTTTGCTTTCAGTCTTCATTATAATGGCAGTTGTAAGGCAGTATTTGCATTAGCTACTATTATACACCTGACACTAAATAAGAATTCTTTGAAAAAAATTCTTTCAAAGTTTAAAACTCAAATTTGGTTAGGCCATGTATTACTTTATTACGAGAAAATTTATGGAAATATTTTGCTTCCAGAGAAATTTGAATGAAATATTGAATATTAACAGCTAACCTTGGCAGTGTGTTCCATTTCCAGAGTAGCCATTCTTGCATGTGCAATTGAAAGAACCATCAGTATTGTTGCAATAAGCATCTTGATGGCAGTTGTGAGTTGCTGTTTGGCATTCGTCGATATCTGAAATAATTCATCAACGAAAGAGTTCAAAATATTTCGCAAGTTCGATTGGGATAACGGTGGGCATTATATAATGAAAGTTGTGAGACCACGTATTACATTCGTATGAAAAAGCTTTTAGAAGTTGTTCTGCGTATGAAATTGATCACTAATTCAGAAATTAGAACTATAAAAATTAGAATCATGCAATGGAAAAATGAAAATTCTACCTTGGCAGTGTGTTCCATTTCCTGAGTAGCCATTTTTGCATGAACAATTGAAAGAACCATCAGTATTATTACAGTAGGCGTTGTCATGGCAATTATGAGACCCTGTACTACATTTGTCATCTGAAATAATTGACAAAAGTGTGTAAGTAGTAATTATATATAATAGAAGGTTGAGATCATGATCATGTATTTCACTCCTACCAGTAGATGCATGAAAGAGTTTACATATTTTTCCCATAATGGTGAAATTATAAAGATTAATTTTCCTTTGATGTTTAGAGTGCAGAAAAACGTAGAGTATAATAAAAATATACAATTCAAATATGAAATATCTTGAAGTCTGTTCAGTCTGTCTTTCGCCTTAGTTTATATGTGGTTATATATTATGTGGTGACGTATATTACTATATCGACTTAACAAAACAACCCAAAGGGAATCAGTGATATGAATTAAACAGGTCTATAACTCTGCAACTCACTTATCATGCAAACTTGCTATAGAATCATACCTTTGATAGGTATGATAGCCTATTACGGTTGAAGCATTTCGAGCATTAATTGTGCATAAGATGACTAAGATTGGTGAAAGTCTTCAATTCGTATTGAATACCATCACATTCAGTGTTAGAAGAAATTAGGTTCCTTTCAACGAGTACCAATTTGATCAAACAAACAATGTGAGCACGGTTCAACTGAAATCAACAAAAAATTCTGCCTGATGGTTATTTCTGACGAAAATCGATTTTCGGAATACAAAGCGGCTCAACCTCGACCACGGCTCAATGCGACCGCTTTGAGCGAGCGGGTTTTTTTGTCATAACTATATAAACGCTCGATCTCGCTTGACTGGGAAAAATATTACGCTGTCATTGCATTATTTGATGAATGTCACTGAACAATATGGTATTCCCGTGCGAATTCACAATTAACTTTTCAACTAATTACTCATGATATGATGTTCCCCTTTTGCCCACAAAAACCTAACGTCCTAACCTTTTTCTCTAGTTGGTTTAATTCAGACAATTGTTTCAAATTAACTTATAACTATATAAGAACTACAATACGGTTCCAATTACATCTATCAAAATATAAGATAAACATTTTAGAATAGACAAAGCATTTTACGCATCCATAACAAGCGACAAAAACAGTGCCGACGAATGGTGATGTATGAGAACCAGGCTTAAATTTCAACCATCTGCCTCACAAACAGTGTATGTGGAACTTTGAAATCTAATTGTAGTTGGCTCTGCATCAAAGTTTGGAATGAAAGAATATATTGCCGACATGCATGCATACATCAATTCAAAAATGAGCTAAATGTACATAACGCTTATCTGTTATACTATCTGTTAGAACCACGTACAAAAAAGTCATAAAAATGTTTCAATAGTTTTATACTAAATTTTTTACTCTACCCGTTATGCATATTTTTGTGAATCAAAAGTTATCAAGTAAATATGAGCACAACAAAATGTCAGTGACTATATTAAAATACATCTGAAATTTATTACCTTCATCATCTGTGATAGTCACTGTCGCTTCGCCAACAGTTATTTGAACATTCGGATTGTTACTTAACATGAAAACAACTGTAAAAGTTTCATCGCCTTCATAATTGTTATCCTGTATTATCTCAATTTCAACGCACGTTATTGATACAGCGACATCTGGTATTGAAATATTTATCTCCTCCGCTAAGTAATCTTGTCCACTTGTTGCGGTGCCATTTTTGAATGTTAATCTGGAAATATGATAAGAAACACATTAAACGGTTAAAAGCGAAGTTCTCTGAACCTGTCTGGATTGCACAAATTTATGAATGGTCGTATTAACTGAATTTTTTACGTCTAGTTTTTATTATATTTTTGTCTAAAGATGTGCATGCTGAAAGAAAAGAAGTTCAGTTTGAAATTAGGAGAGAGAAAAAATGATGAAGTGGAGCTAATCTGTAACCAATACTGGTTGTGACAAGTTCCTCCTACAAAGTATTCCTCCCGCTACCCACATGTGCTTATAGATATAAAAAACAATTAAGAATAACTAATTTTACTCACGTTCCTGAAAACGGATTCTTATAATTGCTAACATGAAGACAAACTTCCAATGTACCATCTGCTTCACCAACATTGTAGGTGGAACTTTCAAATCCAATTGTAGTAGGAGGCGAGGGGGCAGCTGAAAAAGTTGGGAAATATTTCATCAAAAGTCGGGCACAAATATTGTGATATTTGCATATGTGATAAATATTTGCTTTATCCATTTATCGATAATTTTTTTAGATTTCGCGTCAGAGGGGATTCGGCGAAACATATTTCCAAAATGTAATATTTGCGTAAGAGCAAACGCAAACCCTGAGGGTTTCTAAAATGAATGTTAAAATTGTTACACCAAATGGAAAACAAGCCTAAGCATGTAGAGTAGAAACGTGAACAGTTAAATGTTTCCTAAAAGTATTTCAAAAAATCTATAAAAGTACTTAAAAATCTAGGCGTCTAAAATTACTATCGCACGTATTTATTTAAAATTATTTGAAAGATGATGTAAAGTCCGTTCTGCGCCTATATTCTGCGCAACAACACATTCCATCAGTGGGGGAGCAACTTTTGAAATGTTAATGATATGCGATATTAGCGCGTTGTATTACAAACGGACAGTTCGGGAGCACAATTATTTTATTTTATGTCGCAAGGTGAAGAGGCTCAAATTGCGAGTGACGAAGATAAGGCTGCTAGAAAAAAGCAATATCATGCTGAAAGGAATGCTTCAAGAATTTATTTGTTGAATGCATGAGGACCTGAGATGGCGAGGCTATTTGTCGTCGATACAGACGCTACTTTCTCGCTTATCCTACAATTACAAATATACAGAGTTTTAAATAACGGTTTATTTACAAGCTTCGCTTTATATCTTCGTCAAAATATAATAATATTCTCCTCAAAATATAATACAAAATTAGCATATTCATCATAGCCGGTCGAGGGAGAACGGAAAACGAAATTCCTCCTTGCTATACTAGTGCTTTTTGAGGAAAATTGGTTTGCTTACAGTCCTCATTATAATGGCAGTTGTAAGACAGTATTAATTTTGCATTATTATTGCATACCTGACACTAAATAAAAACTCTTTGAAAAAATTTCTTTTAAGGTTTCAACCTCAAATTTCTTTTGGCTATGTGTTACATTATTACTGATAAATATATGAGAAAATTTATGTAAATATTCTGCTTCCAGAGAAATTTGAACTGTACAATTGAATATTAACAGCTAACCTTTGCAATGTGTTCCATTTTCGGAGTAGCCATTCTTGCATGTGCAATTGAAAGAACCATCAGTATTGTTGCAATAAGCATCTTGATGGCAGTTGTGAGTTGCTGTTTGGCATTCGTCGATATCTGAAATAATTCATCAACGAAAGAGTTCAAAATATTTCGCAAGTTCGATTGGGATAACGGTGGGCATTATATAATGAAAGTTGTGAGACCACGTATTACATTCGTATGAAAAAGCTTTTAGAAGTTGTTCTGCGTATGAAATTGATCACTAATTCAGAAATTAGAACTATAAAAATTAGAATCATGCAATGGAAAAATGAAAATTCTACCTTGGCAGTGTGTTCCATTTCCTGAGTAGCCATTTTTGCATGAACAATTGAAAGAACCATCAGTATTATTACAGTAGGCGTTGTCATGGCAATTATGAGACCCTGTACTACATTTGTCATCTGAAATAATTGACGAAAGTGTGTAAGTAGTAATTATATATATTGGGGGCATTTATCCCATGCAGTGTTAGAGGAAATTAGGTTTTTTTCAGCAAGTACCAAGTTGATCGAACAAAAAGTGTGAACGCGGTTCAACTGAAATCAACAAAAATTTCTGATAGTAATTTCTGACCAAAGTCAATTTCCGAATATGAAGCAAATAAACTAGGCCCGATGTTCGACCGCAGCTCGACCACGGCTCAATTCGACCGCTTTCGGCAAACGGTCTTTTTTTGTCATATTTATATTAACGCTCGATGTTGCTTCACCGAAATGACTGGGACAATATTACGCCATCATTGCATTATTTGATCAATGTCACTGAACAATATGGTATTCCCGTGAGAAGGAGAGTAAACGCCCATGAATTCACAATTAACTTTTCAACTAATTATTCATGATGTTCCCCTTTTGCCCACAAAAACCTGACGTCCTAACCTTTTTCTCTAGTCCGTTTAATTCAGACAATTGTTACAAATTAACCTATAACTATATAAGAACTACAGTATGATTCCAATTACCTATATCAAAATATATAATAAACAATTTAAAATAGACAAAGCATTTTACGCATAAATAACAACCGACAAAAACAGTGCCAACGAATGGCGATATATGAGAACCAGGCTTAAATTTCATGGATCAAAAGTGAGCAAAAAAAGAAATGCTGTGTTATCTGGACTTGCGTTCCACACTACAAAAATGTCAGCAACTATAATAAATTATGTAGAAAATACATCTCAAATCATTACCGTCATCATCTGTGAATCACTGTCGCTTCGCCAACATTAATTTGAACGTTGGGATTGTTATTTAACATCAAAACAACTGTAAAAGTTTCGTTGCCTTCATAACTGTTATCATCAATTATCAAAATATCAACGCAATCAGTTGTTTGAATAAAACTTTGTATTCCAACAGGTTTCTCATCATCTGAGTAATCTTCTCCGCTTGTTGCAGTGCCATTTCTGAATGTTAATCTTAAAATACGACAAGAAACACATTAATAAATGGATAAAAAAAGAAATTCGCTGAATATCTTGGTTGCACAAATTTATGAATGTTCGTATTAACCAGTTACTGATATTTGCCAATCTAAATATTGGACGTGTTGAAAATAAAGGCTATCCAGTTTGAGATTAGGAATGTAAAAAGTGGAAAATTTATTCACCATGCAACGCTGGTTGTGACATGTCTCAGCTACAAAATATTCCGTCCGCTACCTGGATGTGCTTATAAATATAAAGAACAAGAACAACGAAATTTACTCACGTTCCTGAGAAGGGACCCTGAAAATTGCTAACACCAACACAAACATTCACGGAGCCATCTGCCTCACCAACAGTGTATGTGGAACTTTGAAATCCAATTGTAGTTAGCTCTGCATTAAAGTTTGGAAGGAAAGAATATACTGCCGATATGCATACATCAATTAAAAAATTAGCTATATTTATATAATGTTTAGTTATATATCTGTTAGAACCACACAAAAAAGTCGTATAAATGCTTCAAAAAAACTTATCAGACACTATCCATTCAGGAAAATTTTTATGTTTCATGTAGTAAAGCACACCAAGTACCGTTTTTTTGCATGGTATATGCATGATATTTATATCAGTGAGATATGTCACTTATATCATTTTCTGTCCCGCTGTAGAAATTCAAGATGGCCGCCGCGATTGTGTTGGTAACCCAAAAATTATTGATGTTTACTGCAAGCTTCTGGTTGAACTGAGTAATGAAAACCTAAATTAAGAACTTTAATAGCAGAATAACCAAACGTAAAATAATTTAAAGAGGAAAACTTATAAGAGAAAAACAGCCACAATACTGACTTTTTGTATTGAAATTCACGATTTTCGTGAAATAAAAATGACCCATTTCCACTGAATATATGTGTCAAATTTGAAGCCAGAATCGTATAAAGGCACAAGTATATCATAAACAGGTTATCACAATGATATGCTCAGTTATAAAATCTTATTATATATATAATTTTTATCCATCAAGAGATAACCTATACTTGGAACTTTGGAATTTTGAATTGTAAATTATAAGTATTGTTTAATTCTTACCTTGTCCTGTTGATGACACAATTTCCGGAACACACACAAAGAGATGCAAATATATCGACTGCCACAACTGCATCTAAGGGAAGTTGGTTATAATTTAAACTTTTATTTGTCGAGCAAAAGTGCAGGAATAATCATTGAATGTGCAGTATTTGCATGCAAGGAATGAACCGTAGGAAGCCCAGCAAATATTTGAAATTGTCAAATATGCTCCAGTTGCGTTTCACTCCATTTGCACTATGTGTTGCGAGTTCAGCGTGATCGTTTTGTGATCGAAAGCATAAGCATGAGTTTCTAAATGCCTAGTCGCTCAACGTCAGTGTAATAATCATACACCAAGGGCGCGTTCATATACGAATGTTAGTTAGGTTGCGCTATCCACCGGATATAGTGACCGTTTGAAAATATAAAAATAAGGTTAAATAAGTGTAAATCAATTGTGATTTTTGGCACTTTACTCGATGCACGTAAAGTCTAGGGGTTTAAAGGGTCTCAATTTCAAGTATACTTGATTTGAACAATTGTACATGTCATAGAAAAAAATGTCAAAGTACGAAATTTTTCGTCTGTATGAGTCAACGAAGAAAACTTGTTACACATTGTGAGCACTTGTATGCGGTAGGCCAGCGGACTATAGTATTTTGCAATGCGGGCGAAATTTTGTCGTACATACACAGGTGCAATTGCCAATTAAAACTTGTCATATAAAAATTTGTCATAGAAAACTTGCTCGTCTTTAAGAGGCATGCAATAGGTCATGAATTAGCTCGTTCATTGCATCACCCCATATTGTACAATAGTATACGTCAAATGGGATAAATCAAAGAATAATAGAACTGAATACGAAAAAGAGAAAAAAAGGCGCAATATTTGAAAAAAGCAGAATACTTGTGAGAATGTTTAGACGAGATTTTGATCAACTTTAAATAGTATAGTTTATTTTAAATGAAAGTGATCGATTGAGGGCCAAGTTGTATGGAAGTCGGAAAGAGCTGCCAACCGCATAGTGATTCTTTTAACCGTGCAAAAAATGCTTAAAAAGCATTAAGATTTAAGATTTCAGCTTTGGTACAACAATTATTATAAAGAGGATCGTCGGTTGTATACGTCGACGTTTATCGTCGAGACTAAACAAACTGACCGCAGCGAAATTATCACGCTTGCTTTCAAGAGTTAACAACGGTCTTCGCATCGACTAACACGTATTGACTACAGTAATTTAAACATGGTTGATGGAGATAAGTTCCAATATGACCAAGGAGCAGCGTGGCAGCGTCTTCAAACAACTTAACATCAAATGTGGTATAACAACTACCTAAATAGACAACCTGTGGCCTTCGTCATACTAAATCCCCTGACGAAGGCCCTCAAGTCGAAACGTCGAGAAGTGTTTTGTCTATTCAGGTTTTGTCTATTCAGTTGTTATACCACATTTGATGCTACATGGTTGATGGAGTCTTATTTTTCCCGTTTAAAATACAGATCAAACGCGGAATGTTGATAGCGATATGCTAGCTGGTATATATTATTGTCGCCTATATTTTATTGCTATTATAACCATGCATGCAGGTAGTACAATATCATGATTGTACAAAACCAACCTTGAATTGATGACTATAATAAAATATTTACCTTGCATGATAAAGTATGGATATTAAAGGATATTTTAACCCAAAAGGATTCCCTAACAATAGAGTTTGATGTACAGAGTCTGATAAAAGGTAATCCAATTTCAACGTGCTTCTATTCATGAACTATACCCAGTCTATGAGCAAAATTCTTTCACATTCAGAAAGATCAATCTTTCAATTATCCCGCGAATGACACGCTAAAGTATAAAAATGAGAAAATACGAAGCTGCTAAAAAAATGTTGTTGATCGAATCGCATATTCGCACCTCTAAGCGTAATTAAAACGATGCATTACAAAAGAAAAAGTAATTAATCACAAAAAATGTCACAGCTTGCACGGGTTTTACAACGTTCAGAAGCGAAATTCATCAACAGATAAGTCCCAAAGCCCGGTAAGGGAGTTAATTTTCATTGTTACATGCCTAGCAAAATTCTGCTTTCCTCTTGGACAAGAGGTCCACGCGTGGTCCATGCCGGTTGCTATGCTTCACCATGGAAATCACAGGCCAATAAAGAATTTTTCAACCATTTTTGAAGTTATAGGCCCTATATTGTTTTATATTTTAATCTTTACATGGAGATAATGCCTAGGATTTGGCTCTTCTTTGGCCTCCGATTTATTTACATTTGAATTGGACACTAGATATAATAACAAATCACTTTTTACGGACACCTTTGAAAGACAGTGTGCGGCTTCGTCTTCGACAGTCTCGGGTCAGCAAAGCCTCGTAGGTCTGATTTTTCGAACGCGTTAAAAAATCGTTTATAGTTTGAGTGTGGTAACCATAGTTCACGTGCATTAGCGTGTTGAATTTGGAGTTCCTTTTTTCCTTACACACTCTGTATAATTTGCATGCAATACCGCTAAAGAGACGAAGCTATCACAAGATATTTGTATACGGCGAAACTGCAAATAGCATTTCAATGCCAGTAAGACTTGTCATACTTCTGTGATATAAAAATACTTTATATATCTTGTTTTTTCGATTAGCAAAACAAATCGAGTTAAAAGGCAAATTAGGAAACTAATATTAGCTATATATGATTACGAATGCTCACCAAACAAAGAGTGTTTATCGCCTTAAATATTACGCCATTATAGTATATAATACGTTATTAAAAATCTTATTGCTTGCGTATACTGAGCTATTTATTGACTCTTGAAACGTTATTAACAGAGCCATATTTTGTCGCTTCATATTTGTTGTGAGTCAAACGCCTAAGGTTAATTGCTAAAACCGTTTGTTTACACTATATCGGATTCGCATGGTCACATTAAAACTAGCCATGTCAGAGCGAGTTTTATCCCCAAAAGTATGATAACATGATTGCCAAATGAGAAATTCCTGCGGACAGAAATACTGTAAAACAACGTAAACCGATTTCGTGACTACAGCTAGCTAGTTAGTACGCCGGGATCCAGCATAGTGTAAAGAGGGATATACTGCTAGTATCGTTATATCATAACAGACCTGCAAAAAATCTTAATCAGGCACAACATAATGTACGAACCTCACTGTATAAAAAGGAGTGATTTTCACTGATTGCATATGATCCTCTGATAACGTAGATTCGCGGTGTCGTAACCCAGTATTACGGTGTATTATTGCATGACATGCAATTCGGCATTTACTGCTGAAGAAACCATACAGAGATTTGCAGATAAACCGCATGAGGTATTTACGCATAAAAACATCTTTAGAAAAATTATTCCTGCTTGAATAATCACTATTGAAATGCCTTAATCCCACTTGGCTCTCAATGGACTTGTCTTTTTTATGCACCGCGGGCTTTATCGTGCACACAATGTTATCTAAGAGGCTGTTTATATGAGCCAGCTAGGTTACCCGAGATTCAACGAACCATGAGATGATTTTGAGGTATTGAAATGAGCAGATAGCATGATCCTGGCAGTCGCATAAATATAATCACCACAACAATTAAAGCATGTGCTTGTTTGGTGCCAGTCATAAAGATATATTTCAATACCTCAAAGTTCCCTCGGCACGCTTCGTTGAATCTCGGGTAACCGGGCTCATGTAAACAGCCTCTAAGACGAAATGAAGTTTAACCATCTCATTATCTATTGTTTAAATTACATTCGGCACAACTAAAACGCGACGTATGTACTAAGTTTCAATGGTTATCTATAGTATACACTACAGGGTGTCTCAAAAAAAACCGCAACACTTTAATATGCAAGAATATAAATATTGTTCGGGTTTGTACCACAGTTCAGCTAAAATGACTTTTAGCATTTTAAATGAGAAATTAAGAGCCATTTCAATTCCCAGAGGTGCTTATCCATTGCGCTTTAGAGCTGTATTAATGTTCTTGCATATTTAAGTGTTGCGTTTTTTTTTGAGACACCCTGTATACTGCAGCATTATCAAACTATACTTTATAGCTATGAACGATGAACCTAGATTTAGGGGCTGTTTACATGATCCCGGTTACCCGAGATTCAACGAAGCGTGAGATGATTTTGAGGTATTGAAATGAGCAGATAACATCAACCTGGCAGTCGAATAATCACCACAACAATAGCATGTGATTGTTTGGTGTCATTAAGACTTATTTCAATACCTCACTGTCCTCTCACGCTTCGTTGAATCTCGGGTAACCCGGCTCATGTAAACAGCCCCTAAAAAGATTATGCATAGCGGCATTTGAATAAATTTTTGTACTATTTAATTTCTATTGAAAAAATTATATTATTACATGCATGTATACATGCTAATAAGCAGTATGTTAAGTTGCATACATGCATAAACAATGTATTGGTTTGTGTAGTTTTAATCAAGAGACATTAGCCCCGTTTACACAACACTCGATCTATTGACACGGCATGGCTAAAATGCACATTAAGGCCCGCTTCAGACGTCAAACTTTTCACGTGCCGAACCAAATGCTAAAGTCTTTATTTATAAGTTTATATGTTTGTTTTCATTCGATTTGGCACATGAAAAGTTCGACAAACTGAAGCCGCCCTAATTTAGGGGGCGATTGCATGTACCGGGCTAGCCCGCTCTGGCGGGCTGAAATTTAGCAAACGGTTATACTAAAGCCTCGTTTACACTACACTCGATTTATTGGCAGTTTTGGCACGGCACGGATAAAATGGGTACCCGTCCCCATTTCATCTGTTCTCGGCCTTTGTTTAGGTGGCTTGAGCCCCGTTTACACTACACTCAATTTAATGGCACGGTACGGCTAAAATGGGTACCCGTAACCATTTCATCTATGCTCGGCCTTTGTTTTGGTAGCCTGAACACTAATAAAATTGGGTACGGATACCAATTTTAGCCGTGCCGTGCCGATAAATTGACTTTAGTGTAAACGGGGCTTACAAGACTGAAAAAATTGGGTATACGGGTACCAATTTTAGCCGTGCCGTGCCGATAAATTCAGTGTAGGCGGACTGAAATTTAGCAAACGAAGAAAATTAGCAAATGGAGAAGCCATTGTTGCTTGTGCGTGTGTGTGTACACACACTGTGCATGTATTGACGAATTCCCAGCCCAGTTTGCCCGTTTGAAACGATTACATACGAACTTTCAGCCCGGCAAGACAGACAAGCCCCGTTGACATATCCGGGCTGAAAGCTCGCATGCCAGTACTCGAAACGTCAAAAATTGCTTGCGATAATATAGGAAACGGGCTAGCCCAGCGAAGCGGGCCGGTTTGCCGGGCTAGCCCGATCCATCCAGTTATATCAAGCCCGTTTAGCTTAAACGGCGGATAAGTTCAAATAGAAAGTCAGTCTATCGTTTTATTCAATAAAGAAACTAAATGTTTGCAACCTTAATACATAGATACTGTTCGCCTTTAAGCTTTAATTACCTGTATAGCCTTCGGCGACTAATGCATACGTGCATGTCACGCTGTTTTTGTAATTCCGGTTTATTCAAGTTTCCTGATGAAATTTCGCGATGGGAATTACTTGTAATGGAATTATATATTTTCTATTGATCACGGGCTTCAGCCGCATTTTTCCATTCTTCGCCAATTTATTCCATAGCCATATAGGTTACCATTGACAGCTAAATGCTTGAATGCTGGTTTCCTTTAAATATCTCAAAATCATCTTCCGCTTCGTTAAATATTGGGCACATGTGAACAACCATAGATGCAAATGCTTTAACCAAAACTGCTCAAATCTAGTTAGCCACTTAGGGCACTTTCCTTTATACGGTAAAAACGGCCAGACCGATGCTGTTGTAACTCAGTTTAGAGTGTTTTAACAAATCTGCAATTCGCGTTTATCGTTATTTACATCTGCCTAGCAAGAGCAAGAGCAATGCAGTTTCACCGACTTCAGTTCAAAATATGACTTGTTTAATCATTTTGGCCGCTTAATGGTAACTAAAATCAGGTGTGCATCTGATCAAATCTGTTAATAAAAATTGCCAGTCTAGTACACTGCTTATAAGTCCTCGGCAAATTTGAACATGGATTGGCATCAGATTTTTCAAATCACTCTGCAATGTCTAATATCAAAGGTGTATGCTATAGATTATACAAGCGCATGTGTATAAGGCCCGCAAGCGGTTACAAAATGAGGCTTCTACAACCACTCTTCCGCTGTGCGAGGTTCATTTTTCGACTTTTTTTTACTGTTAGACAAGCAAAATGATGCCAAAATACTTATATAAACTTTTGGGATATTTTAATGAAGTAATAGTTTGCTGGACATTTCAATCTTACAGTTTTTCTGACACACCCTGTACATACATGTATATACACAGATATTTACTATAGACCTATTCCACGGACGTCATAATCGTTAAAAGCTGTCCTCCAGATGTTTCCTTGCTTCAATTAGAATTAATAGTTACGCGAGCGGTGCATGTAGGTTTATATAGCGACAAGACCAGTTAACGAAACAAACTTTCCCACACTAGTAAAATAATATTTCTGTATTTTGCTCAAAATTTACGTTTTTGTAAAATTTATGCCACGTTAATTTGCCCTCCAGATGCCTAATGTGAAGTAATGTGCAGAACTAGGGTCTATTGGTTGAAATAATTTTGCACGATTACATATAATAACCTTTGCATGATGGCTTCATTGATAAGAATTATGGTAAATTAAAAATGTGCTGATTCCAAGTAGGGTCGAAACTACCTCGATAATATACGACGTCCAAAAGAATTCCGGCAAAGTGAGAATATAAATATGTAACACATAGCTATTGAATCTAGTCTAGGCCCTGATACCCAGAGCTACAAATGATGTACGGTACGTGTAGAAAAATTGTCTGTTCCTCTTTTACATCACAAAGGATAGTTTTCATTGCCATAATAAAGATTATTAAATGTGGGACGGTGTGCTGGAGCAGTGATCACTCGTGGTTTCAAATCATATTGCCTATTTTTTTCCAAGAGCCTAAGATTAACATACAAAAAGAATTGTTAAACCTTAAACCAGGACTCGATTGTTTTGTGAGCCCAAGTGCAAGTGTTACTGTACAGGAACAGGAGAAACGTCATGTAATATGCACTATAAGGTGTCGAAGGAGCTCCATGCAATTTCGTGTTATGGGGCGGCCGAAAAATAGCAAAAATCAACCAAGTTACCATGGTAACGAAACCATCATGAATGAGCAAGCTTTTTTCAAACGTAAAAAAAACACAAAGACATAGAAAGATATCACGAAAACACCTTTATCATGATTGTATCAAAACAGCATTTTACCATGATTGTAATAACATCTTCCCCCAAAGAAACTTTATAATTTTGGTAGTCTTCCCTTAAATATATTCTTACCCCTATTAAATTTAAACCCAATCGAACAGCAACAAAAGAACGGGTTTTTTCTTCCTCTTTTTATTTTATTTTTCTTCCTCTTTTTCTTTTTTACTCTCTTTTTATTTTATTTTTTTATTTTTCTTCGTCACATTGCTATATACAATATGTTTTCTAAGCAAACACCTTGCTGCCTACTTTATCGTTCAATAAGAACTTACCTAAAACCAGTAATTATTACAATTACCAACGCAACCGCAAAACATAGCCCAAGCCATCCCAACACCACTCTTAGGACATGTTTTACGTCCTCAACTACACTTTTGTCGACTCCTATAAGAATTAGTTTAAAAACTGGCTAAAATGAGATTTGAAAATATCTAGATCACAAATATTGCATGGGAGCGCAGTTTACGACAAAAAAAGCTTAAGTTGCTAAGTTGATGTATAGAATAGGTTTTCTACATCATTGTTTAATCCTCTTTTATTCTTGTTCTAATTTGACGCGTCCTTTTGGAGTTTTACAGATATGGATGATATATAGAGGAATTAATACGGCGCATATGTTGCATAAAATCATTTTGATAACTATTGTTAGACTGGATCCCCCACGAATTAATAATTCTCAAAATTAATTTAAAACAACAAAATTTATCTATAATCGCTCCTGGAAACTGAAAAGTTCGAAAAGATCACGTCCCGTTGAGTGGTTTAAGAGCTAGGGACTCCATAGTTTGGCCACAGGTTTAGCAAGTTTCTCTTGTGTGAAACGTCATTTCATCGTTGGAAAAAATAAAAACCTTTGAGGCTCATAATCATTTAACAACAGTAATTAAATAAACATTGCACTACCAGACGTTTTATCGATAGTAACAAATAACTAAAATTGCGCAATGCCATAATAGAAGCAAGAACGCAGATTTTAAAAATACATGCTAAGCGATATAGCAGATTCAGCGCAGGCAAATTTTCACTGCATTGGGCACCCTTTTTCATCGATAATATCATGGTTTGTAGAATGTTTCATGTAAATGTAGTTATAAATGTGTTGTAGCCATAAATATGCATGAAGCTTCATAAATTGTGTTTCGAAACAAACTTGAGACTATTTAAAGCAGTTCTTTATACGATTATACGATGCGTCTCTTTTGCATTAAAATAACTGATAATATGATTGAGAATAAATTTTCTTGCCGAAAGGTTATTTTGTTGGGAATTTTGGTTCGTAATATCTTCAATATATCTAATTAATGTAATATCTACTTTCTCTTGGTGATTTCCAAAACGCATTATAATTGCGTCATAATTATGATGGCAAAAGTAATGATCAGGATTATGTGCATTCACGAGGTTAATTAAAGAATGGTAAATCAAAAAACTTACCAAAGATTGGAGCAACTAAAAGAAAGACAAAATAAATGTTAGGAATTATGTGAGAAAATGATGGAAAGTCAACGCGTAAAATGCCAAATCACAACCCTTAACAAAGAGGCCATGTTTGAGTTGTTTCCTGAAACGAAATGGCAAAAATTAACGCTGAAAAGGCAAATTTGATTGCCATTAAAATGAATAAGATATCTCCAAATGATTTTAGGTAGATCAAATAATGCAATATTTTTTTGCATGAACAATTAAAAGAAACATCAGTATTGTTACTCTAGCCATTGTGATGGCAATTATTTTACATTCGTCGATATCTGAAAGATCGAATAGAATTTTTTTAAAAAATATTCTGCAATGTGGATCTGTGGAATCCCAATAAAAATTGACCCGGAGCAGATGATTAAGAAAAAATTGCATATTATTATAATGCTATAACAGTATTATTGTTCTATGGCTTGTATTATTAAAAAATATATCGGCTCGAATTACATTGTAAAAAATGAATAACCGAAAAAAAAATATTGAAACCATTTGTTAAAATTGTTGATTCAACCAATTTTGAATTTAAAAACCTATAAACTGCTTAAAACCTGATTATAATGGTAACTAACTAGTAAAAAAAAATATCGGCCATCAACACAAAAATTGCTTGAAATGTAAAACTGTCAAGCCTATTCTAAATTAGTAAAAACACTCTGAAATGTAAAATGGTATAGAGTAATGTAAAATGGCTAGCGCACTGTGAAATGGCCCAGCACGTGTGAAATGGTCTGGGTAATGTCAAATTGTCTAGGGTATTGTGAAACGGCTAGCGTGATGTGAAATGGTTAGCGTAATGTGAAATGGTCTAGCGTAATGTAAAATGGTCTAGATAATGTGAAATTGTCTAGGGTAATGTGAAATGGTTAGCGTAATGTGAAATGGCCTAGCACGTGTAAAATGGTCTAGGGTAATGTGAAATTGTTTAGCGTAATGTGAAATGGTCTAGCGTAATGTGAAATGGTCTAGCGTAATGTGAAATGGTCTAGCGTAATGTGAAATTGTCTAGCGTAATGTGAAATGGTTTAGCGTAATGTGAAATAGTTTAGCGTAATGTGAAATGGTCTAGCGTATGGTGAAATGGTTTAGCGTAATGTGAAATGGTCTAGCGTAATGTGAAATGGTCTAGCGTAATGTGAAATGATTTAACGTAATGTGAAATGGTCTAGCGTAATGTGGAATGGTCTAGCGTAATGTGAAAAGGTCTAGCGTAATGTGAAATGGTCTAGCGTAATGTGGAATGGTCTAGCGTAAAGTGAAATGGTCTAGCGTAATGTGAAATGGTCTAGCGTAATGTGGAATGGTCTAGCGTAATGTGAAAAGGTCTAGCGTAATGTGAAATGATTTAGCGTAATGTGAAATGGCTAGCGTAATGTGAAATGGTCTAGCGTAATGTGAAATGGTTTAGCGTAATGTGGAATGGTCTAGCGTAATGTGAAATGGTCTAGCGTAATGTGAACTGGTCTAGCGTAATGTGGAATGGTCTAGCGTAATGTGAAATGGTCTAGCGTAATGTGAAATGATTTAGCGTAATGTGAAATAGCTAGCGTAATGTGAAATGGTCTAGCCTAATGTGAAATGGTCTAGCGTAATGTGAAATGGTCTAGCGTAATGTGAAATGGCTAGCGTAATGTGAATTGGCCTAGCGTAATGTGAAATGGTCTAGCGTAATGTGAAATAGCTAGCGTAATGTGAAATGGTCTAGCGTAATGTGAAATGGTTTAGCGTAATGTGGAATGGTATAGCGTAATGTGAAAAGGTCTAGCGTAATGTGAAATGGTCTAGCGTAATGTGGAATGGTCTAGCGTAATGGGAAATGGTCTAGCGTAATGTGAAATGGTCTAGCGTAATGTGAAATAATCTAGCGTAATGTGAAATGGTCTATATAGCGTAGTGTGAAATGGTTTAGCGTAATGTGAAATGGTCTAGCGTATGTGAAATGGTTTAGCGTAATGTGAAATGGTTTAGCGTAATGTGAAATGGTCTAGCGTAATGTGAAATGGTTTAGCGTAATGTGAAATGGTTTAGCGTAATGTGAAATGGTTTAGCGTAATGTGAAATGGTCTAGCGTAATGTGAAATGGTTTAGCGTAATGTGAAATGGTCTAGCGTAATGTGAAATGGTCTAGCGTATGTGAAATGGTTTAGCGTAATGTGAAATGGTTTAGCGTAATGTGAAATGGTCTAGCGTAATGTGAAATGGTTTAGCGTAATATGAAATAGTTTAACGTATGTGAAATGGTTCAGCGTAATGTGGAATGGTCTAGCGTAATGTGAAATGGTATAGCGTAATGTGAAATGGTATAGCGTAATGTGGAATGGTCTAGCGTAATGTGAAGTGGTCTAGCGTGATGTGAATAATTCAATAATAAGATCTTATCTTCTAAGTAACCATAACTTAGATTTTGGGTTTGTGATTTTACTGATTTATGTAATTAGAGTTTAGACATCATAACAACAGTAACCATTATACCATACGTATTTCTGGTTTAAGGCATTAAACGAAAAAACAATCAATCGTCTAACTAAAAAGCTTATAGACGGATTGCAAAATTTCGATTACAACGAATTATGGTACAGGTTGTGAAAATTACGAAGGCTAAGAGTTGGAATACTCCAAATTGTAAACACAAATATGCAAGTGCGAGCAAATATGCAATCGTATAAATTGGTAAAATCGCTACTCGTTACTTGCGAGTGACTCGGACACCCGCTTCTAGTTACTAAGGATCAGAGTTGCGTCAAGTTACTCGCTTACTGTATACATGGATGGAACGCCAAGATAAAAGACAAAGAAATCAAGACGAGCATAAAAACTTATATATTTTGCTAATCTCGTGATTTTATCTACTCACCAATACAATCACTGCCATTCTTGACGAAGCCTTCATTACAGATACAATCGTAAGTAAGATTTCTGTTGACGCATGTTGCATTTTCACCGCAATCAGGGGCTTGAATAATTTGTGCAGGTTTGCACTCATCGATATCTAAAACATAGCGAGATAGTCGTCGCGTTATAGGAAAAATCTTGGGAGAAAAAATGTTCACTACCTCTGCCACAGAGAGGGATTGTTTCAAAGAGGTCCACAGAGAAAGACTGTTTTAAAGAGATAGCCAGACAGTTACTTTAAAGACTACGATGTTAATAATGTAGTCGTAAAATAGTTGACTTTCAGAATTGCCTTATACGTGTATTTACCCGGATGCAATTTACCACCAAAAAGAGGATTCTATATATTTTAACGTCTCACCTCCTGTAGTTAATTAAATATATTCACATAATGTTGGGTTAAGTGCATTAAATTCCACACGATGGAATGAAGAGAAAATACAGCCTCTTCCACGGGCATGTCTAATGTAATAAAATTATGTTGAAATTATATAGGCTAGCTATTTAATAATTATTTGCCGAAGGCGAGGTGAACATCGCTCAATAAAAATCGAGACGAAGTAGAGGGGTTTTTTGACGATAATCACCGAGCCTGAGGTCAATAATTTTTTTGGTATATTTAAAAAGGTGATTTTTTGAAAAAACGAGTCTGTTGTAGGAAATACATGTTTTACAAATGAAAAAAAATATCTCGACAGTTTTACAATATGAATTAAAACAATGTTTTCGCAAAATAATGTTGAAGCGTTCAAAGAAATAGTTTCCTCCCTAAATTTTTCACTTCTTTCGTGCTTTCAGGTAGAGTATTTTTATCTATCATCTTCGTATTTCTTCATCTATCACGTCGACAAAATAACTCGCCGTAATTTGCAAAATCCGCTTTGGTGATAATCGAGTAATAATCCGAGGTCCTTGAATCAGATGATAATTTATATTTGGCATGGTATATATTATAATTTTAATACATTAGAGATGCCAGCATACGGAGGAGGCTAGACCAGATATACCTTCAAATATAAAAAGACCAGCCAATTCAGTGCTAGCGGGATCAGTGTTAGCGCTGAGTTGTAGGTTGGTGCCAGGAAGAAATGTGCCGCTGTTTGTTACGATCAATGTTGCGGCTAATTCTCTTTGAAGATCTTCGTAGGTAATTCCAGTTACATCGTTAAATGTTAGGACGATGTCGACAGCTAGAGAGCCATTACTAAATTCAAAATATGAAAAAAACATTTACAAGGCATCATTACTGTACCAATACTGACTGCCAGTTCGCCCTATGTAAAGAATGTAAATTCGTTATGAGATCCCGGTTCCCACCTGGTGGATTCCGGATTCCGATTTTTAGATTGCGGATTCAATTTTGAAAATTAAGGGACTGTTTACATGAGCGCGGTTACCCATGATTCAACGAAGCGTGAGGGGACTTTGAGATGTTAAAATAAGTCTTTAAGTTGTATGCGACTGCGAGGATCATGTTATCTGCTCATTTTAATAACTCAAAATCATCTCACGCTTCGTTGAGTCTTAGGTAACCGGGCTCATGTAAACAGCCCCTAAGAATGGTTTCAACGCATAAGGTTTCCTTAGAGAGTTAATACAAGGCAGTCCCTGGCCGATAGCTAATATTAAAGGTAAATAATGTCAGTTGAAGATAAAGCAACTTAAAGCAGCTTTATTCCAAAGCTTAAAATGTCTCTGGATATCGGATTTCGAATTTCTTTATATTTGGCGAGATAGTGCGCTTCGCCATCTTTCAGCGAGACGCTTTGCAATATAATTGCGGTAAATAAGGTCACCGGTAATTCATGACTTGTAATCTATATCAGCAATGCACAGGGTTTCACGCTCTCTTTTTTAAACAAAAACTGCTGTCGTCATCTAAAACGGTTCTATATTTCCTTTTGCTAATGAGAACAAAACACTTACGTTAAATTTGCAACGAAGAATGAAGCAATTTGCGAAGTGAGGTTCGCACTTCTGAATATGTTGATGCCCTAAATTTGATAAAAATAATTTTGTCGCTGTTAGTATAGCATAGTATTTATACTTATTTGTAGTAACAAAAGACAAGTAATAATAGATTCTCTATACTAACTTTCTGTTGCTAAATCAAAACACTACAGATCAGCTGATACAATTAATATATTCATTTTGAAGGCTTTTTATGCACTAATTAAACTGACCACGCTGACGCTTGTTCATGTAAAAGAGGTCATAGCCTGTTATTGTCTAATAGCCATATGTGACATCGTCTCGTTTGTCCGACAAGTGAGGTCGTAGTGTGGAATTTTTTTGCTGCGAGGTTAGCGAGGACTTTTGGGACTTTTCATTCAACAGATGCGAATTTAAAAATCTGAGCTTGATCAGAAGGTAGAAATAATCACAGTGATTGTTTATTATTTATATCGTTATGAGAATAATAATTGAACAGCATCGTGCCCGCAATGCCATTGAAACAGATATATACTTGTATACGGATGGCAAATGTATTTGCTTCTCTACTTGTATATAAATACTATAATTATATTTGTATTGCTACCGTGTTAGTTGTCCATATTATAGAGCCCTTATAATCCATATGTAATACGTACATGCATCTCTTAATGTAATACAAATTATAAATAACTAATTCTAATCTGGACTATAATCATTTTGTGTGTTTTAATTTGTATCTATTTTGTTTATTTTTAGCTTTACACACTATAAAGGATTACGTCAGCCTTCCTCAACTACTTAAAACGAAATGATTAGATTAAGCTAAGGATTGTATTTCCCCACTCAGAACATGGATTTAATTATTAGCAAAATATTCATTAGGCTGTCACACACGCCTGAAAGTTAGTAAGGTCTGTTTTAGACGTCGAACTTTTCATGTGCCGAACCTAATGTTAACGAGCTAAAGTCTTTGTTTAAGTTCATTTGCATTCGATTCGGCGCATGAAAAGTTCGACGTCTAAAACAGGCCTTAATCAGCAAATAAAGGAACTTCTGTAAGCTATGTAGCCAATTGAGAATTCGATTCCAACTTGCAATTCGCTTCTTTGGCGAAAATTGTGTTCTCAGTACAAATGTAGGTCTAAATTGTGTTCATGGTACAAATTACACTACAGTATAAATTGTTTTCACAGTACAAATTATATGAAAATTGTGTTCACGGTACAAATGTCCTAGTGTATTACTTGCTCCAGGCCTGTGAATGCACGGCAGCACTTGCTATTGGAACTTCTAGTTTATGCAGGCTATTTTACGACATAACGAGCGATAAATAGTGGTATCCAATGTTATCACGTCACGTCAATTTGCCAACGAGCGGTAATGCGAAAAAACACACAAATGCGACTGAACAAATATTTAACGCTTCTCTTTTCTAACACAGTGCTATAGCATTGTTATATATCAACAATAGACTTCTTCGTATGCAGATAACGATAAACTTCGGCTTAACAAGACGCCTGTTCCGGCGTTAAATCCGGCGTGCCGTGCACGTGCCACGGTGCCAGTCTCAATAAAAAGCTTCTGAACATAAACAATACAATTCATACTCATTTGGATGCCTTGCGAACTTAAAATCTAAAATGTTGTTGGATCGCAACATTCAGAAGCACATCGTACTTTAAAAAGTGTAGAAGTTGAATGTTGCTCTATAGAAATTGTTCAAAAATGTAAATAAACCGCATGGCACGTTCACTTTGTCTTACACTTCGGTATTGCGCTTATATTAAATCGAATTCAATCCTGTGCAAACTGAGACATGTCAACGCGCCCATACACCACCACATCTTGTTAAACGGCGATATAGCAGCGATATTAATAAAATAGGACTAGAATTTACATGTATTTTAAAAATATATTCTTACCCCAATTCAATCTAAATTTAATGGAACAGCATCAAAAATTGTTCCTCTCATAGAAATTGCCGTATCATGCGAGCGAAATCAAATAGTGCATCGGGAAATTAGCCAAAGCTGTGCACCACAACTCTTGGAAGACAAAACTGTGACGTAGATAAATACGGTCACATATGAATGCGAATACCAGTATATTTCGCGCCAAAACACAGTTGCGATAACGAAAAATAATAAAAAAACAAAACAAAACAAAACCTAGCCGCATTTTCAACTCCGTCGGTGACGCTGAGTAATAATTCTTGGATTCTGCTCAACCTACATCTATCATTTAAGAAAAGGAAATAATGAAAAAAAATAGAATTTGCCGTACTGTCAAACACATTTCCAGAGCGGTTTTTGTGTATTCTAAGCTTGAACGATTATTAAATCCCAGCTGATATTCACGATTCATAATAACTACCCTAACTATAACGGAACCAGCCAAATCTAAAAAAAACAAAAACGAAAGACGGGTAAAAACTTCGAAAAAACAATTAACGAAATTTGTTCGTCGATAGCCTGAACTTAGTGAACTATACAGTACTTCAAAAAGAAAACATTTTAATAAAAAGCGAAGGTAAGCTTTTCTCAAGCTCAGAGGTTGAAAATCAGTCCGAGATTTTCAAGATTTGCAATCATTATATCCTTGTGCTCAGAATTTATTTTGATGTGACTATATTACTAAATTCTTTGCACTATTTGGACTTCTATTTTACATCAAAAAAATGTTGGTCACTATACATAAAAAATACATGTGAAATTTCTTACTGGCATCATTTTCAACGATAGCCCTCGTCAAGTTTTCAATGCATTGCTCGACATCTGAAAAATATTAAACGAAAGAGTTAGGATTTTTTAGGATTATAGTGTTCATTATTTGTTCCTCCTAGTTCTGATATTTAGCCGAAAAAAAACTCAGTTTCCTGAAGCAGGCATTACAATGGAAGTTGTGAACCCATGCATAACATTCGTAGAGATATGTGCAAAAGAAAGTTGATACAAATATTCTGCCTATAAGAGCGAATTATTCTAATTAAAAATTTTCATGTTCTTTTATCAACTTTCGAGGCCAAAAAATTAGAAATATAGATTCATATGCAGTAATTCATGAAATATTTTCGGCAAACCTCTGCAGTCTGTTCCGTTTACTGGGTAGTCTTTTTTACATATACAATTGAAAGATCCATCAGTATTTTTACAGTAGCCGTCGAAAAGACAATTATGAGAATTCACACCACATTCATCGATATCTGAATAAAATATTAACAAAAGTTAGAGCTTAGTGTTTTATATCTGTTTTAAAAATTAACAAAATAATTAAAATTTCTTCAAAGTTTTGAACCGTGCAAAGTTAGAATAACATCGTCTCTAATATTTACATACGGCTAACCTTCACAGTCAGTTCCATTTCCCAAAAAGCCGCTTTTGCATGAACAATTGAAAGAACCATCGGTATTATTGCAGTAGGCATTATGATGACAATTATGAGATTTTTCAATGCATTCATCGATATCTGAAAAAATATTTAATTAAGGATTAGGATTTTTTTGTAATTATAGTGTTCATATATTCCCAATAATTCTGATATTTTCCAAGTGTCATCGAAAAAAACTCAGTTTTTCAATCATGCATTAAAATGAAGGTTGTAAAACAGTGCATAACATTCGTAGAGATATGTGGAAGAGAAATTTCATACAAATATTCTGCCTATATAAGAGCGAAATATTCTAATTAAAAATTTTCATTTCCTATGATCGACTTAATTTTGTGTCCTGATCATTAGAAATATAGATTCAATTGAAGTAATTTATGAAATATTTACGGCAAACCTCGGCAGTTTTTTCCGTTTCCTGAGTAGCCTTTTTTACATGTACAATTGAAAGATCCATCAGTATTGTTACAGTAGGCGTTGTAATGACAATTATGAGAATCCGCGCTACATTTATCGATATCGGAATGGATTAAAAATTTGGGAATTTATTAGAAAAACTTGTTATTACCTCGAGAATTGAAACTTTGAATTCTTAAAAATATCGATTTTTTCTTGTGATGGAACCCTCTGTTTCTCTTACTAATAGAATAGAGAAATTTAATATTTAAACGACCAACCTCTACAGTCAGTTCCATTTCCTGAGTAGCCATTTTTACATGTACAATTGAAAGATCCATTAGTATTGTCACAGTATGCATTGTCATGGCAATTATGAGGACTCACACCACATTCATCGATATCTGAATGAAATAATAACAAAAGTTAGAGCGTAGTTATATACACATATCTCTTTGAAAAATGAAAAGGATAATTAAAATTTCTTCAAAGTTTTGAACTGTGCAAAGTTAGAATTACATCGTCTCTAATATTTACATTCGGCTAACCTCCACAGTCAGTTCCATTTCCCAAGTAGCCGCTTTTGCATGAACAATTGAAAGAACCATCGGTATTGTTACAATAGGCGTTATGATGGCAATTATGAGATTTTTCAATGCATTCGTCGATATCTGAAAAAATATTTAATTAAGGATTAGGATTTTTTTATAATTATAGTGTTCATATATTCCCAATAATTCTGATATTTTGCAAGTGTCATCGAAAATTAGAAATCAACAATTACAACTCGTATTACGGAAAATCAACTTAGCAACCGTAGACAATGGGCTTATAAAAAGGGTTACTCTACCGAACTGTTATTGGCTACGATGACCGAAGACTGGAGAAAGGCGCTCGATAATAATCAAGTAGTTGGCATTGTGTTCGTCGATTTCCGAAAAGCTTTCGACTCAATATCACACTCAGTATTACTTTAAAAACTGCAGGGTCTCGGTATTTCTGGCGCTCTTTGGTCCTAGATTGCTGACTACCTGTCTGATCGTTCCCAAACGACGGCATTAAACGGGTGCCAATCACGGTCCATGCCAGTTAAATATGGGGTTGCTCAAGGATCGGTGCTTGGCCCTATTCTGTTCTTTCTCTGCTGTAACGACATGCCCGAAATCTGCGATGATGGAAGTGATATTTACATTTGCTGATGACACCACCATATATGTAATCGGCCAAACTCACGATTTTGTAGCCACAACACTCATTAGAGTCCTATGCAAGCTACATGAGTGGTGTTGCAATAATTTTTTAACACCACACCTGGACAAAACTGAATTTATGATACTGGGGCGAGGTAAATTCGTGGGGCCATTACAGGGTGTTAAATTAGGAAATACTTATCTCAAACAAGTCGAGACTTCTAGATGTTTAGGAATTGAAATAGATAGTAAATTAAAGTGGAAAGCTCACGTAATTGAACTGACTAGGTCATTCGCACAAAAACTTAATCTTTTAAAGTCTCCATTTTTTTACCAGTTAAGCAAGAGCTGATTTTACTTTAAAAATATATTACTCTCAATCACATACGGACTTGTAATATGGGGATCATGTGGGAAAACCCTATTTGATGAATTGGAACGTACACATGTACGGGCGGCCAAAGTAATTTACAAGTTGAACTTGCAAACACCAACACAGGATGTCCTGGCTCAAACAAATTGGAAACCCCTGGAGAAGTTATATTCTCCGAGATTGTTATTTCTAGCACAAAATTGCTATTATGGTCACTTCCCTATTCCACTACAGTCATTATTTGTAAAATATTCTAGTAATTATAATCTAAGAAGAAAATTAACTATTGCTCTTCCAAAACCGAAGACTGATTTTTTAAAGAAACCAATTTCGTATCAAGCAGCAGTATTATGGAATTCAATAGATAACAATACAAGAGCAATAGAGGACTTCAAAAAGTTTAAACTAGTAATCAAAAACCACTTATCATAAGCGATAGCTCTTGTAAGATATTACTATTGTAGAATAGGATATTATATGTAATGTATTATAATAGTGTAATTGTAAAATAGAACATTTATGCTAACTATGTATTACTAAGTGCACGACCACATCAGCTATGCTTAAATTTCAATCGTGTCGAAATAAATGCTTTAACTAACTAACTAACTAACTAACTAACTAACTAACTAACTAACTAACTAACTAACTAACTAACTAACTAACTAACTAACTAACTAACTAACTAACTAACTAACTAACTAACTAACTAACTAACTAACTAACTAACTAACTAACTAACTAACTAACTAACTAACTAAAAAAACTCATTTTTTTCAATCATGCATTAAAATGCAGGTTCTAAAACAGTGCATAAAACTCGTAGAGATATGTGCAAAAGAAATTTCATACAAAATATTCTGCTGATAAAAGCGAAATGTTCTAATTCAAAATTTTTTATTTCCTATGATCGACTTAATTTTGTGTTCTGATCATTAGAAATATAGATTCGATTGAAGTCATTTATGAAATATTTACGGCAAACCTCGGCAGTCTGTTCCATTTCCTGAGTAGCCTTTTTTACATGTACAATTGAAAAACCCATCAGAAGTAATACAGTAGGCGTTGTAAGGACAATTATGAGAAGCCGCGCCACATTCATCGATATCGGAATGGATTAAAAAATTAGGAATTTATTAGAAAAACTTGTTATTACCTCTAGAATTGAAACTTTCTTAAAAATATCGTTTTTTTCTTCTGATGGAACCTCCTGTTTCTCTTACTAATAGAATTGAGAAATTTAATATTTCAACGACCAACCTCTACAGTCAGTTCCATTTCCTGAGTAGCCATTTTTACATGTACAATTGAAAGATCCATTAGTATTGTTACAGTATGCATTGTCATGGCAATTATGAGGACTCACACCACATTCATCGATATCTGAATGAAATAATAACAAAAGTTAGAGCGTAGTTATATACACATATCTCTTTGAAAAATGAAAAGGATAATTAAAATTTCTTCAAAGTTTTGAACTGTGCAAAGTTAGAATTACATCGTCTCTAATATTTACATTCGGCTAACCTTCACAGTCAGTTCCATTTCCCAAGTAGCCGCTTTTGCATGAACAATTGAAAGAACCATCGGTATTGTTACAATAGGCGTTATGATGGCAATTATGAGATTTTTCAATGCATTCGTCGATATCTGAAAAAATATTTAATTAAGGATTAGGATTTTTTTATAATTATAGTGTTCATATATTCCCAATAATTCTGATATTTTGCAAGTGTCATCGAAAAAAACTCAGTTTTTCAATCATGCATTAAAATGAAGGTTGTAAAACAGTGCATAACATTCGTAGAGATATGTGGAAGAGAAATTTCATACAAATATTCTGCCTATATAAGAGCGAAATATTCTAATTAAAAATTTTCATTTCCTATGATCGACTTAATTTTGTGTCCTGATCATTAGAAATATAGATTCAATTGAAGTAATTTATGAAATATTTACGGCAAACCTCGGCAGTCTGTTTCGTTTCCTGGGTAGCCTTTTTTACATGTACAATTGAAAGATCCATCAGTATTGTTACAGTAGGCGTTGTAATGACAATTATGAGAATCCGCGCTACATTTATCGATATCGGAATCGATTAAAAATTTGGGAATTTATTAGAAAAACTTGTTATTACCTCGAGAATTGAAACTTTGAATTCTTAAAAATATCGATTTTTTCTTGTGATGGAGCCCTCTGTTTCTCTTACTAATAGAATAGAGAAATTTAATATTTAAACGACCAACCTCTACAGTCAGTTCCATTTCCTGAGTAGCCATTTTTACATGTACAATTGAAAGATCCATTAGTATTGTTACAGTATGCATTGTCATGGCAAATTATGAGGACTCACACCACATTCATCGATATCTGAATGAAATAATAACAAAAGTTAGAGCGTAGTTATATACACATATCTCTTTGAAAAATGAAAAGGATAATTAAAATTTCTTCAAAGTTTTGAACTGTGCAAAGTTAGAATTACATCGTCTCTAATATTTACATTCGGCTAACCTTCACAGTCAGTTCCATTTCCCAAGTAGCCGCTTTTGCATGAACAATTGAAAGAACCATCGGTATTATTGCAGTAGGCATTATGATGACAATTATGAGATTTTTCAATGCATTCATCGATATCTGAAAAAATATTTAATTAAGGATTAGGATTTTTTTGTAATTATAGTGTTCATATATTCCCAATAATTCTGATATTTTGCAAGTGTCATCGAAAAAAACTCAGTTTTTCAATCATGCATTAAAATGAAGGTTGTAAAACAGTGCATAACATTCGTAGAGATATGTGGAAGAGAAATTTCATACAAATATTCTGCCTATATAAGAGCGAAATATTCTAATTAAAAATTTTCATTTCCTATGATCGACTTAATTTTGTGTCCTGATCATTAGAAATATAGATTCAATTGAAGTAATTTATGAAATATTTACGGCAAACCTCGGCAGTTTTTTCCGTTTCCTGAGTAGCCTTTTTTACATGTACAATTGAAAGATCCATCAGTATTGTTACAGTAAGCATTGTCATGGCAATTATGAGAACTCACACCACATTCATCGATATCTGAATAAAATAATAACAAAAGTTACAGCGTAGTTATATACATATATCTCTTTGAAAAATGAACAGGATAATTAAAATTTCTTCAAAGTTTTGAATTGTGCAAAGTTAGAATTACATCGTCTCTAATATTTACATACGGCTAACCTTCACAGTCAGTTCCATTTCCCAAGTAGCCGCCTTTGCATGAACAATTGAAAGAACCATCGGTATTATTGCAGTAGGCATTATGATGGCAATTATGAGATTTTTCAATGCATTCGTCGATATCTGAAAAAATATTTAATAAAGGATTCGGATTCTTTTATAATTATAGTGTTCACATATTCCCAATAATTTTGATATTTTGCAAGTGTCATCGAAAAAAACTCAATTTTTCAATCATGCATTAAAATGATGGCGTAAAACAGTGCATAACATTCGTAGAGATATGTGCAAGAGAAATTTCATACAAAATATTCTGCCTATATAAGAGCGAAATATTCTAATTAAAAATTTTCATTTCCTATGATCGACTTAATTTTGTGTTCTGATCATTAGAAATATAGATTCGATTGAAGTCATTTATGAAATATTTACGGAAACCTCGGCAGTCTGTTCCGTTTCCTGAGTAGCCTTTTTTACATGTACAATTGAAAGATCCATCAGTATTGTTACAGTAGGCGTTGTTATGACAATCATCAGAAGCCGCGACACACTCATCGATATCTGAATGGATTGAAAATTTAGGAATTTATTAGAAAAACTTGTTTTTACCTCTAAAATTGAAATTTTCTTAAAAATATCGATTTTTTCTTGTGATGGAACCTTCTGTTTCTCTTACTATTAGAATAGAGAAATTTAATATTTAAACGACCAACCTCTACAGTCAGTTCCATTTCCTGAGTAGCCATTTTACATGTACAATTGAAAGATCCATTAGTATTGTTACAGTACGCATTGTCATGGCAATTATGAGAACTCACACCACATTCATCGATATCTGAATGAAATATCAACAAAAGTTACAGCGTAGTTATATGCATATATCTCTTTGCAAAATGAACAGGATAATTAAAATTTCTTCAAAGTTTTGAACTGTGCAAAGTTAGAATTACATCGTCTCTAATAATTACATACGGCTAACCTTCGCAGTCAGTTCCATTTCCCAAGTAGCCGCTTTTGCATGAACAATTGAAAGAACCATCGGTATTATTGCAGTAGGCATTATGATGGCAATTATGAGATTTTTCAATGCATTCGTCGATATCTGAAAAAACATTTAATTAAGGATTAGGATTTTTTATAATTATAGTGTTCATATATTCCCAAATAATTTTGATATTTTGCAAGTGTCATAAAAAAACTCAATTTTTCAATCATAAATTAAAATGATGGTGTAAAACAGTGCATAACATTAGTAGAGATATGTGGAAGAGAAATTTCATACAAAATATTCTGCCTATATAAGAGCGAAATATTCTAATTAAAAATTTTCATTTCCTATGATCGACTTAATTTTGTGTTCTGATCATTAGAAATATAGATTCGATTGAAGTCATTTATGAAATATTTACGGAAACCTCGGCAGTTTTTTCCGTTTCCTGAGTAGCCTTTTTTACATGTACAATTGAAAGATCCATCGGTATTATTGCAGTAGGCATTATGATGGCAATTATGAGATTTTTCAATGCATTCGTCGATATCTGAAACAACATTTAATTAAGGATTAGGATTTTTTTATAATTATAGTGTTCATATATTCCCAATAATTTTGATATTTTGCAAGTGTCATCGAAAAAAACTCAATTTTTCAATCATGCATTAAAATGATGGCGTAAAACAGTGCATAACATTCGTAGAGATATGTGCAAGAGAAATTTCATACAAAATATTCTGCCTATATAAGAGCGAAATATTCTAATTAAAAATTTTCATTTCCTATGATCGACTTAATTTTGTGTTCTGATCATTAGAAATATAGATTCGATTGAAGTCATTTATGAAATATTTACGGAAACCTCGGCAGTCTGTTCCGTTTCCTGAGTAGCCTTTTTTACATGTACAATTGAAAGATCCATCAGTATTGTTACAGTAGGCGTTGTTATGACAATCATCAGAAGCCGCGACACACTCATCGATATCTGAATGGATTGAAAATTTAGGAATTTATTAGAAAAACTTGTTTTTACCTCTAAAATTGAAATTTTCTTAAAAATATCGATTTTTTCTTGTGATGGAACCTTCTGTTTCTCTTACTATTAGAATAGAGAAATTTAATATTTAAACGACCAACCTCTACAGTCAGTTCCATTTCCTGAGTAGCCATTTTTACATGTACAATGAAAGATCCATTAGTATTGTTACAGTACGCATTGTCATGGCAATTATGAGAACTCACACCACATTCATCGATATCTGAATGAAATATCAACAAAAGTTACAGCGTAGTTATATGCATATATCTCTTTGCAAAATGAACAGGATAATTAAAATTTCTTCAAAGTTTTGAACTGTGCAAAGTTAGAATTACATCGTCTCTAATAATTACATACGGCTAACCTTCGCAGTCAGTTCCATTTCCCAAGTAGCCGCTTTTGCATGAACAATTGAAAGAACCATCGGTATTATTGCAGTAGGCATTATGATGGCAATTATGAGATTTTTCAATGCATTCGTCGATATCTGAAAAAAATTTAATTAAGGATTAGGATTTTTTATAATTATAGTGTTCATATATTCCCAATAATTTTGATATTTTGCAAGTGTCATAAAAAAACTCAATTTTTCAATCATAAATTAAAATGATGGTGTAAAACAGTGCATAACATTAGTAGAGATATGTGGAAGAGAAATTTCATACAAATATTCTGCCTATATAAGAGCGAAATATTCTAATTAAAAATTTTCATTTCCTATGATCGACTTAATTTTGTGTCTGATCATTAGAAATATAGATTCGATTGAAGTCATTTATGAAATATTTACGGAAACCTCGGCAGTTTTTTCCGTTTCCTGAGTAGCCTTTTTTACATGTACAATTGAAAGATCCATCGGTATTATTGCAGTAGGCATTATGATGGCAATTATGAGATTTTTCAATGCATTCGTCGATATCTGAAACAACATTTAATTAAGGATTAGGATTTTTTTATAATTATAGTGTTCATATATTCCCAATAATTTTGATATTTTGCAAGTGTCATCGAAAAAAACTCAATTTTTCAATCATGCATTAAAATGATGGCGTAAAACAGTGCATAACATTCGTAGAGATATGTGCAAGAGAAATTTCATACAAAATATTCTGCCTATATAAGAGCGAAATATTCTAATTAAAAATTTTCATTTCCTATGATCGACTTAATTTTGTGTTCTGATCATTAGAAATATAGATTCGATTGAAGTCATTTATGAAATATTTACGGAAACCTCGGCAGTCTGTTCCGTTTCCTGAGTAGCCTTTTTTACATGTACAATTGAAAGATCCATCAGTATTGTTACAGTAGGCGTTGTTATGACAATCATCAGAAGCCGCGACACACTCATCGATATCTGAATGGATTGAAAATTTAGGAATTTATTAGAAAAACTTGTTTTTACCTCTAAAATTGATTTTCTTAAAAATATCGATTTTTTCTTGTGATGGAACCTTCTGTTTCTCTTACTATTAGAATAGAGAAATTTAATATTTAAACGACCAACCTCTACAGTCAGTTCCATTTCCTGAGTAGCCATTTTTACATGTACAATTGAAAGATCCATTAGTATTGTTACAGTACGCATTGTCATGGCAATTATGAGAACTCACACCACATTCATCGATATCTGAATGAAATATCAACAAAAGTTACAGCGTAGTTATATGCATATATCTCTTTGCAAAATGAACAGGATAATTAAAATTTCTTCAAAGTTTTGAACTGTGCAAAGTTAGAATTACATCGTCTCTAATAATTACATACGGCTAACCTTCGCAGTCAGTTCCATTTCCCAAGTAGCCGCTTTTGCATGAACAATTGAAAGAACCATCGGTATTATTGCAGTAGGCATTATGATGGCAATTATGAGATTTTTCAATGCATTCGTCGATATCTGAAAAAACATTTAATTAAGGATTAGGATTTTTTTATAATTATAGTGTTCATATATTCCCAATAATTTTGATATTTTGCAAGTGTCATAAAAAAACTCAATTTTTCAATCATAAATTAAAATGATGGTGTAAAACAGTGCATAACATTAGTAGAGATATGTGGAAGAGAAATTTCATACAAAATATTCTGCCTATATAAGAGCGAAATATTCTAATTAAAAATTTTCATTTCCTATGATCGACTTAATTTTGTGTTCTGATCATTAGAAATATAGATTCGATTGAAGTCATTTATGAAATATTTACGGAAACCTCGGCAGTTTTTTCCGTTTCCTGAGTAGCCTTTTTTACATGTACAATTGAAAGATCCATCGGTATTATTGCAGTAGGCATTATGATGGCAATTATGAGATTTTTCAATGCATTCGTCGATATCTGAAACAACATTTAATTAAGGATTAGGATTTTTTTATAATTATAGTGTTCATATATTCCCAATAATTTTGATATTTTGCAAGTGTCATCGAAAAAAACTCAATTTTTCAATCATGCATTAAAATGATGGCGTAAAACAGTGCATAACATTCGTAGAGATATGTGCAAGAGAAATTTCATACAAAATATTCTGCCTATATAAGAGCGAAATATTCTAATTAAAAATTTTCATTTCCTATGATCGACTTAATTTTGTGTTCTGATCATTAGAAATATAGATTCGATTGAAGTCATTTATGAAATATTTACGGAAACCTCGGCAGTCTGTTCCGTTTCCTGAGTAGCCTTTTTTACATGTACAATTGAAAGATCCATCAGTATTGTTACAGTAGGCGTTGTTATGACAATCATCAGAAGCCGCGACACACTCATC